TCATTCTGGACTCGCTTTAATCAGCACAGAGGTCTCTCCCTCTCGAAATCGAAGGCGTGCCAAGAACAAAACAAAAAAAGAAAAGAAGTTGGCCCAGGGCAATCCATCAACGCATATCATGCGCAGAAAAACTCCCCAAAAACTAAACCCCAACAATTCCCCAGTGTATAAAACTGTCAGGAACTAACATACAAACACCAAAAGAAATACTTTGCCCATACACACAGAGTAAAAATCAAGCTTAAAGTTCTTTAACAAAAATATTGAAATGCAGAGAAAAAATATAAACAAGAAGGGAATAAAATTATTCCAATATTTAAGTATTCAAATCTGTAATTTTCCTTCTCGATTTGATGTTTCTCTCTGTGTAACAAAAAAAGATGATGAATCTTTTGTTGTTTCCCGACTACGAAAGCCACTAAAAATGTTAACTAAAATACGAGCAGAATATATGGCCTCGCACCAGCAAGCAAAAAAATATATAGAAGGAAAAAGGGAAAGTAAATGTAACCAAGATGAAATGTGCTCCACATTCTCAGGGCTCCGCCAGAACCAGCAATACATGTTGAGCAAAAAATTATGATGGAAATGGGGAGCAGATGGAAATGGAAATGGGGACACGGCAGAGTCCCGGGACGAAAAACCAAGGAACGGGAGGCATTGACAAGCACAAAATATAGTCCTGGCTGTGGCTCAGCATAGAACTAACAAGGAAATTTTCGAGGAATGCATTCCATTCAGAGCATAACGAATCATGTAACTCAGCTCTCACTTCTCGTTTTCTTTAAAGTTACGAAAAACTAGAAGCAACTGTCGGCAGCCAAATGAGGATTGGCCTTGCAGGAAATGCTTTTAGGGAAATGTTAATCAAACAGGAAGTGTCTGTGGAAAATGTAAACTTGAAACGAAGATAGGATTTCTCGTTTCTGGAGTATGAAACTGTATTACTGAAATCATTGAAGAGCTTAAAAATTAAGAAAAGAACATGATTAGATCTATCTTAAGTAAGAAATACAAGCAGCTTATATAAACAATTTTATTAATGATAAATAGATAGTAAGGGCTTCTCAAAGATTCTGCTCTGAGAACTTTATGTACTATGTCTTATTAAAACTTCTTAGATATATCCCCATATCTTATGGCCTTTCCTGATCCAATACAACTTCTCCACCGATACTTACCAACTTAATGTATCAGCAAAAAATATAAAGAAAGAAACAAGCAAAAGCCCGTACCACATGTCACTGTCAACGGCGATGACAAAGATAAATTTACCTAAGAAAAAATCGTTGGCCCAGCAATGGCTATTAAAATTTAAATTAGCAAATAGTCGTTTCGGGGCTGCTCTGCTTTCTTTAAATTTCAAATTATCTTTTTGAATTTAATGCGCTGTTGGCTGAGAAGCAAAAACGCACAAATGGCGCCAGATTCCGTCCGGCAATCAACTAAATTCAAAGCAAATTGTCCGCACAATGGCCCAAACCAAAGGCCGTTGTCCTTTGGGGGCGGCCATCAAGAGATTGTCCCCGAGGATACGGGGATCCGAGGATCCGAGGACTACGACAGAGGCAAGCCAAATGCTTAATGCTCATTATTTTGCGCTCGAGAAATTTCTGTCTCGTCACTAATTCATCATTGTTTCGGCACATTAAATCCTTGAACGTCAACGCATTCATTATCTCATCGCATGTGAGCCAGGGGGGCTAGGGAACATCTAAGGGGACCCCGGCTTTTGGCCAACTCATCGCCGGGCTCACATGGTCAGCTGTCTGTCTGTCATCGGGGCTTCGTCGCCACGGCATGCTTGAGTGATATTAACTGACCGACAATCAGTCAAGGGCAACTGGAGCATCAGCTTCTGCCCTGGCCAAAAGCAGAGTTGGCCCATAGAGGCTTAGGCCAGATTTCCGGGTTTTCCGGAGGGGGGACGAAAAAGCGAGACGCATTCATGCGGCTGGCCACGAATGGCCTGTGTCATTTTTTGCCATATAGGCCACTTAACCCACATGTGCCTAACAAAAAATATGAGAAAATAATAAACAGAAAATAGAAAGTTGGAAAATATTTATTTATGTTTTTGAGGCACTAATAATACAATAAATATATAGTTTGCATAACAATATGCATTGAATTGAAATAATCAGTTTCATACAACCTTTCTCTGTTTTATTTAATAACTTGGCTATATATTTACCGAGTGATAAAACCCAATAGTTGGTTGCCAGAGGGTTAATTTCCCCCTCAAAGGATGTCTGTGAGCGCTCCTCGCATGTTAATTGCTTTCCAGGCTAATCGAATTTTTTGCCCGTCATTATGAGTAATGTGTCTGGGATGCGCACATAAAGCAATTTGTCGAGAAGATTGCGCCGAGTGGCAAATTGCTCTAAGCGCTTGGCAATTTAAACTATTTTGGGCCCTGGCATATACTATATATAAACTGACATTCCTACGCAAACAATAAAAGCGTTTAATATAATTCACCGTTGAATCAGCAGAACCCAAACAAAAAAATACAACAAATATTATGCAAACCCAACGTAATCGCAAATGTCATCTGGCCTTAATTTCGCATGCAAACAAAACATCATTACAAATGGCCAACGAGCAGGGTAAAAAAAAAGCAGTTAACACTACTGTCAGCTTAAAAAAAATAATACTGATATACAAAAATATGCAAATGTTCAAAAAAAGCGAAAGTCAAATTCCCTTGCGGCATTTAATAATTTATATCTAAATAACATTTAGAATTTTCCATTTTGTCAGAAGCATTAAGCGAGCTCATGTTTTTTTATTTCATATTTATTTAACCCTTTTTCGGTTAAGTGAAGAAGCTTAAAAATTCACACTTAAGCCATGGATAATTTAAAAGGATAACATGACTCGTATTAAAGTGTGATTTTGTTAAATTAAATTCAAGTTAGGTGGCAGATTTGACTGTAAGATTAACTAAATATTTATTAAATTAAATATTTGTGTGATTAGTTTTATACTTTAACCGTATATGGAAGTTTGAACTGTAGTTCCTAGTTCCTACTTATGGTTAAGCTCTAATAGAGAATTTTATATTGATATTTGAAAACGATGGGAGTGGATACAAAGATACAACTCTTACCTTTAACTAACAAGTTTAACTTGAAACTTAAGACTTTCTTATTCCTTGTTTCCTTTTGATTATTACCAAGTGTATAACTTTTGCATGCCCATTGGCACAATGCTCGTAAGCTACACATTTTGTTATTATTATTGTTGTTTGAAATGCGAACTGTGTCACGCAGATTAGTCATCGTTTCGTCTCCTTGGGGACGAGTAAGCATCATCCCGTTGGCTGGGCAATAAATTCAGGACATCCGGGGGACGAGACCAGGAAAAAAAGTCATATTACATCGCTAATTTATGTAGCACATAAGTTAATTTCTGTTTGTCTGCGCTGTTATTTGTTGTAATTAGTCGTCGTTCAAGCCGTTGTCCCAGGGGCCATTAAAACTCGTCCCTGGCACAAAAATATAACCGCCGGAAAAGCGCCAGGACATAAACAAACGAAAAACTGTTGCTTCCGCTACTTACTACCGGGATGGGATGAGCTGGAGGGAATGTCGTAGTCCGGGCTAATTATTTTGTCGGTCAGCCAAAGTTCATAGTTCACATGCCACAACAGCCAAGATAGCACGACAGGCACGAAATGAAGGGGATCGGGATCCCAGGGATACCACACAGCACGCCCACTCGTCCTGGCTCCGTTTGTATAATTTTTATTATCAGGCCAAGTAATATAAACTTAATTAATACCCGCGTCGGCCGACGGGTCGGCCATTTGATTCATGGCCTGCATTTGCGAGCCGCGGCTTAAATGCAATAATGAATGTGGCGACGCGGAATAAAAATGGAAATAAAAATGCGATGTATAAAAATGTGCACACCGAGAAGTGTGAAGGCGGAAAGCTCGAGGACGGGTCAGCACACAAAGTCAAGGCATTAACGATGGCGACCTTTTTGGCACCTCGAAATTCGAAAACAAAAAAAGGGTTTCTTCTGTCCGCGACACAGTGTGGCAAAAAGGGTAGTAAAAGGAAATATATCTATAGATATATAAATATATGTATCTTAATGGATTCAAGAATTTTATATACATATAAGAGCACTTAAAATGCTCTCGAATGCTATAATTGCTATAGCTACATAGTGCATATATTTGTAAGATTTTTCTATCCGTATTCAGTATTTTTCAAAATATTAAACAGTTGATCAACGCTTAGATACTTAAAATTCCATGTTTCTTTGTGATATCCGTAACTCATAGTCTGAACTCTGTTACACTTCGTTATAAATTCTAAAAATAAAATACAAAGAAAAATAAGAACGTAATCCTGATGACTTTACACATCCTTTTCATTGTAGTTTATAAAAATAAACAAAAAACGACTTAGTACAGAATTGAAATACCAGCGGATAACAAAACAAATTCTATTATTTTAAATTCTTTATGGGTGAGGTAAGACTTTATTCTATTTTATTAGAATTTTATTTATTATTTATTCTATACAGCGAATTCATCCGCCCCATAAGCCCGATTGACGAGCTCGCTTTTACCAGTAGCTTACCATATAGTGCCAATTGAATCTGATTGCTTGTCAGTAGAGAGACCTGCGCTATATTCTAGAAAATTTTAGTAGAAAAATTAATAATATAAAAATATTCTACAGTAACTATAGAAAACTTTATCTTCAGCAGAGTAAATTTCTCATAGGAATACTTAAATGCAACCAATCTACAGGGAATATCAAAGTGATATTAACAATAAGATTTTCATAACTAATTATATACCATTTCAGAAGCTATAATTAATGAGCAACTATATTAATTTAATATTTTAATTATCCTAATGAAAATGATTACATTTTATTCCCCAATGTCTTTAATAAAATCAACTTTATACCTCGATTAAGTTTCGTCAGTAAAAATCGCAAGTTGACAACACTGTTGCCCCTCTTTCGGTTTTGCAGGAATGGCACCTTTGCCCGCCGAGGGACTGCACCTGTCCAACCTCTCCGTTCCGCGGATCATTGACGTGGCCCAAAAGGCGAAACTCTTCTGCAGCTATGCGATGGGCAATCGGACGCTGAACTCTGTCAAATGGTACAAGGATGGCCTCGAGTTTTTCAGGTGAGCCAAACCGGCTGCGGCCGTAAAGCAAATAAAAGCGATGGTCGGTCGATGTTCTCCTTCCCCGCCGAACCATAAAAATATTTTTCGGCATTCAGTTTGAAATAATAAAACGTTGCCGGGGAGTTGGAGTTGGAAGTCGGAGTTGGTATTGGACCTGGAGGATGGTGGACAGAGCATGGGGATTGGTTGCTGGGAGTCGGGAGATTGCCGGCGAAATGTGCCGGCGCATTCATGCAGATTTTATGGCGCAAATTGAAAACGTCATGAAACTGCAACAAAGTGAAGGCCCCTAGCCGAAATAAAACAGCAACGAAAATAAACCAGAGTGGGTTGAAAGTGTCGCAACTAATTTAAATGCTTAATTGAAATGGATTTTATGGGCGCCTGCAATTGCGGCCAGGTGGCGCAGCCATATCGTACCCAAATATGTGCGAAGAGGGCTTTTTATTTAACTGGCTTAATTGTTGCACTCCACAAACCATACCCGGCCAGGATGAGGAGTGTCCAGGAGTTCAGCAGCCCAAATCCCTGCTCTTCATCCCCGGGCTTAATCGAGCGGGAAATTTTTAACAAAGGTGTGCGCTTGGGCATTACATTCACTTACTTTTTTTTGTTGTTGCCATGTTTTCGTTATTGATTTTTAAGGCCTTGCAACAAATATGTGTTGGTCCAACCAAAAAAATTATTATTTATGACAAACATCAGAACCATTTAACGGGTTACGGGCTTTGCCAAATGGAGTGACTCCGTCGACTTTGGCAAAAAAAATGAGGTAAAAAAACATATTTAATAACCGAAAATATGGAATATGAAAGAATTTCGGAAACTATCAGTAGCCGGATTATCTTGAAAAGTTTATTTTAATTAAAGAAAGCCTCAATATGAGGTATTTAATTAATATATACGGAAGTGCTTTGAGTCCTGTATAATACGCTAATCAAAACCGCTTAAAAGATATCCAAAAATATGCTGTAAAATAATAAATAGCACATAAAAAACAACTTTACTTTATATCTTCTTCCCTTAAAATTTTACTGCACACGCTTTTACATTTATTTCAACCGTTTAAAGTTATCCAAGTCTTCTTTTTCATATCTAAACTAAATCCCAGCTTTATATTTGATTTTTATTTTCTTTTTGAAACAACATTTTAGGTGCACAGTGCATTTGAGCCTGATGCCACGCCCCCACTTTTGCAACATTTGTTGCATGTAAATTTGAATCATTTTTGCAACCACATTCGATTCGAAATTATTGTTTTTGACACATACGCGAAGGCGTGGAATTTCGGAGTTGGGGGCCGGGATTCTGAAGCCGGGTTGCCCAGTAATTTACTGCCGTAGGCCGAGTTGGCTTTTATCAATTACGCTTTTGTGTGAACGTTTTGATTGTGCGGTCTGCAACTCGGCTTCAATTATTCATGTGCATTTGACACTGCGGTTGCTTCCATTCGCAGCACAAAAAAACCGCCACAAAAGATACACGCATTTTGAGTATAATTCTGAATTTGTTGAGCCGTGCTTTTCTATTTGTTAAATTGAGTGTTTTGGGCGATGTAAATTAACCTCATCAGATATGTATGTAGATAGTATTTTTGAATGGCTTTTACTTTTCACCAAGAAAATGAGACAGAAATCTCAGGTAATAGTGGTTTTCAAGGGACATTATGATAGAAACCATAGTAATTAAAGAATTTTTTTAAATTAAAATGAATTCAATAAATTTGAATCGATAAATTAATTTTATTTATAAGTAAAACAACAAACCTTTCAGTAAAATGTGCCAGACTCTAACATACCCTGTATCCAAAGAATTGTTGGTGTTAAAAGAAACATGGAACTTTATTACGTTTAAATTTATTAAAAAATTAAATTAAATAGAGAAAAAAGCAGACAAAAATGTTGAAAAATGACAATACAAATGTTTACAAAAGTAAGCAGCAAATGTTGCTAGAAGCATATATATACCATATATATACCAAAACGTTAATGTTGCACAACTTCATCAACTTTCCAGATTTTTGTTAAAACTCTTATACTTGAAATATATTAAAATACATAAGACTAATAATCAATTATACAGCTAATAAACAGCAACATTTCCCCAAAACATCCCTAATATTGAGATACTTTAATCGAAAAGTAAAAAAAGGATTTGCCCCCAAAAACACCACGCTAATTGCTATAGTCAAATGCAACATTTCCCGCACACAAGCAAATAAAAATGAATGGAAATTGAATTCGTATTCGAATTTGAATTTCATTTGTGCTCTGAAGTGGATGCAGAGCTGAGCTGGGAACTGCATAATATTCATAATAAAATCGACAGCTCTGCCAAATAGAAACTGAAATGGAGAGACTAGGGGAAAAAATGGAGAACTTTAGTATATATGTATAAAGTTTTTTGCATGATTCCCTCATCAATATTTCATGGCTTCTATTTTTGGCGCAGCACTCGACTGACTCTATCTCGTTCTAACACTGCCACGCCTCTGTCCATCTCTGTCTTTGCAGATATTCGCCACTAACGCCGCCGACAACAAATTGGTTCCCCGTTAAAGGTGTCACCATCGCCGACGGTTCGCCGCATTGCAATCAATTCATCTGCAACGTGGAGCTGGAGAAGCTCAACGCCCATTCCTCGGGCCAATACCGCTGCGAGGTGTCCGGCGACGCGCCCGAGTTCAAGCTGATCGATCAGACGGCCAATATGACAGTGGGAGGTAGGTTACCAATACCCATTATCCTTTTTCATTTTCCTGCCTTTCCTTTTCCTAGAGCATCTAAGCATATACAGTGGAAAGAAACAAGTACCACAAACGACCACTAAATAACCGATTCTCAATCAGAACAAAAGTGTAGCATACTTTTTGACTCTCTGCTTTATGGAGTTAATTATCTCCCTTGTATATTTCTTTTTAAACTATTAAATTTCTTACTTTTTATTGATATTTATTTTACATTTCCTTTTATATTTCATTTTATTATTTTATATAAAATCTTAACTCTAGAATTTTCCTCACAATTCTCTCAAACATTTCCCACAGTCACAATTGCCTCCGATTTCTGTTCACTGTGTACTTGCTGTGTGTAATTTTTGTTGGCTGTCTTTGATTTATGTTTTGCAACAGAAAGACAACAAATTATGTGCAATTTTGCAAACACTTAATAAAATTATAAATGGTCTTTGCACGGCCACCGAACCCGTAGATTTTTCGGGTGAACGGCAACTCCCTTTCATTTATCAATGCCACACCGGCGGAGTGTTTTCCGGGCGGATTGCGGAAGGACGAATCACGGATTACCAGATAGCCGGAGGAGGGTGACGGGAGAGGAGCGATCGGTGGCGGGGTCGTGAACCTAGGGCAGTAGGCAGTTCAAAAGGGCGTCGCATAAATGCTGGAAAATTGTGACACGCGTCAGCCATTTGTATGAGTAATGATTGTTAATAAATCCTGGCAGCCAGCCTCCTCCCTTCCATCCACCCATCCTGGCTACAGTGGGCGCCCTACTGCGCCACCTGCCGCACTGGTGAACAAATTCAACTCAATTGTGAGTTTTGTACGAATCAATTTATAATCTACAATGCGCGGTCGTTTGCCGTTGTCACGTGCTGTGCCCGGCCTAAACGACAATGGGCATGGCAAGGGGATGTGTGTAGGTGGCTGTGGCAATGGCTCCAACAAAATACACCAGAAATCCCGGGGACCGACTCGTTTGCGGCACTTGTAGTTCGGTTTGTTAACGTCAACGCCGCACCGCCAAGAGCGACTGGTAACGCATCGCATTGCCCACCATTTTGATTTCGCTTTGATTGGCAGCGTACATGACGATGATTTTGGCCCAGCACCCAACACTCTTGGTTACACTGTCACAAAATAATGTGGCATTTACTTTGTAACTTGTGAATTAACTCTTTTCCTGTTTTATACTGCAAGCCACAGGGATATCAGAAAATATAGCATACTTTTTGAGGCTAGTGTGAAAGATGGTGGAAAATCTCAATATATTGTTACTGTACTGATATTCGGGGAAAATGTTGAGAAATTAGTCGATGTATAAGAAATATATTTAATAAATATATATTCTTTTTGACATTTAGATTATTATATTTGATATTCTGTTTGATATATTAATTTAATTTCCACTTAAGAAGCCTGTTTAGATTTCTTTCCAATATGTAAGATGACTAGAGTTATTTCATATTTCATTCTTTTTTCTCTCAGACTCCCTTGACTATTTTCTGCCCGTGTAACAAAGGCCCTTTTCCACGTTTTGTGGTTGATTGCGGCCAGGAGGAACTGAACCGCCAAAGAGACAGACATTCAGACAGTCAGTCAGTCAGTCAGACTTTTGGTGGCGTGGGCGTGGGCCCGGGCTCGGTCTCTACTTTGAAATTCAAATCAATTGATTTCGGTCCAACGTCATTGCGAGGCAAATGGAAATGGCCTGCTTATGTCTTTTGTTTCTAGTTTCTATGCGGCTCAAAATGATTTATTTGTCGCAATTTCGCCGCTCAGCGATTTGTTTCCTTTTGTAGCTGGCAGAGTTGGGATATACATAGATGCTAAATGGAAGGCAGAGCTGGGTTCTCCGACTCTGAAGCTGACTCGCTTCACTTCGGTTTGCGGGCGTCTTATTTATTGACGTTACTTTAAGAGATATTGATTTGCATAATGCGCACTTAAGCATTTGTTTACGCGTAACAATCAAATTTGAATTCGCATTTTCGTATTTGTATTGTGTCTTTAATTGGATGTTCGGCAGGAGAGCAGAGGGCAGACTGTTTGTGTGCTCGCTATTTGCATGTCAATTTGACTTTTATCTATTCTGCGTACTCAAATAGACAAAGTAAGCCATGCTCAAGTTGTTGTACACGAAGAAGATCCCGCCGGCTAGATTAAGTGGCAGTCAGGAACGTTGGAGAGTTTTGCCATTTCCCACGATTTTCCGAAAGCTTTTCCTTTTGCTTTCCTGCTGCCACAATGCCAATAGCTATCGATTCTTAGTTGGCTTTTATTTATGACTTTCTGATTTATGATGATTGATTTGAAATTGTGAAATACTGAAATAAGTGCAGATGCAAAAGTGCATAAATGTGGTCATTATTGTGGGTAATACAATTAATATTTGTAAATAGAAATGAATATTTTGTGGGATTCGCTTGCTTGATTCGATGCTGGTATGGTTAATTTAATAATAAATCTTTGGGGATCCTGGATACAATTTAAATTTGAACATATTAGGAACAATGGAAAGAGTATTTTGTAGAATTGAGGGTTAGTTGACAATATTTGGATAAATAAATTAAATAAACAAATGTTTCTGAATTTACTAATGACTCTGCAATAACAACTGAGGTTCGAGGCTCGAGGTTTATTACTTTTATTCATATATGTTATGTATTTCTATCACCTCCTGATAACATTATTATATTAACACTTTGTTGTTAAAGAGTTGACCATTTCAGAAATATATTATAACAAGTTTTTCACCTGAAATTATGATAGTTTTTCTATTAATCATTTTTAAAGCTCTTCTAAAAGAGTCTACCAGAATCACTACAGAATAAACTCAAATGTAATATTTTTAATAGATTTCCGCACATTTTTTCCTGACTCTCTTCTCTACTCAGGCTTAGGTCAACAGTGCATGCAATATGCAAATAAAAATCCTGTTTATATATTTCCATATAATCATAGTGGCTGCATTATCCGCGGAGTGCCTTTGGCATATGCCAGTGCCAGTGGCCAGTTGGCTTCGTCATTTTAATTTATATATATAATATATACTGTGGATATACCCTCACAAATCCAAAGAATAAGCTGTAAAAAAATACAATGCCTCGAGGGAAGGCGACCAAAACAAAACAAAGCCAACCAGCCATGGCATCAAAGTTCATCAACGAGATAGCGGCAAAGTTTAAAGTCCTCTTTTGGCAGAACAATGTGTCCGTGTGCGGAACACTGGACGAAAAACTAGGGGGAAAGTGTTGGGTTAACTGTGGTTTCAGGGTACTTGGGGACCGGGATGCACGTAGTTTTAGCTGGTGTCACCAGTTTTTTGTTTCAATAAAGGGCGATGCGAAGCTGTTGACAGACCAACAATCGACTTGGGAATTTCGTCACTAAAGTGCCATCGCCACCGTAACCACCTTAAAAACTTTGTCACAACAACATCAGGCATTCACTCTCTGTCTCTCTGCCTCTCGATTTTCAAACAGCAATCGCCCAGGACACTTTGATGATGCCTGAAACAGGAACAGGACCTGGTCCGGAGCCAGAGCAGGGAAAACAGGATCAGACTTGGGGGCTTGAGGTTTGCTTGAAACTTTGGCCGGGCAAATATTTTGTCGCTTAGCTGCGTGCCGTGTGTCATCACACTGATTAACTTTGCCAAGTTTGCACAGCTCAGCAGCGGGTTGGGGAATGCCAGGATCTGCCAGGATATGCCCGAGCAGCGTGTGTCCAAACACTGGCCATAAAACGGCGACTGAGCCGCACTTAATTACTTTGGAGATTTGCCGCATTTTTGAGAACAAGCTGGTTACAGAGTTCTTTTTTTTCACTGTGGAAAAAATACTTAAGAGAATATATTTTGAAATAAAATATAAGCAGTAAGCATGGATAATTACTTCAAATTAAATTAAAGTTTTAAGTAAGGATAATATAAAAGCCATTACCGCAATCAAAGCAACTTACATTATTATAAAAGCCAACTAAGAATTTATTGCCATTGTAAAAAACTAACATTCATTGTTTATATGATTTTTTATATAACATATGTTGTATTAATATTTTGTTAGTAATTTCTCTGCTTAGTTTATTTTTATATAGATTATAAAGTCGCTTTAAAAAATGGTTATGCCTGACAAGTCTCGAAATCCTCTACCTTCTTTTGGGCTCGTTTAGCATTTCCAAAAACAATACAATTTTACCCCTCAAAAAACTGATTTTGGTTTTGTTTTTTGTTGTGTTTATGGGGTGGGGTTTTGGGTTAGGACTTTCTCCCACTTTTCTTTTTTTTTTGCTTTTGTTGCCTTACTGGCACTTGGGCGGCAATACATTGCCATATTTTTTTGGTTTATTTACCCTAGTTGATTGCTTTGTTTTCGTTGAATTTTCATTTTTGCGCTTTTGTTTCGCCGCCCGCAATGCAAGTCACACAATTCGAGAGGCCAATGGGGAGGGGCACAGCATGGCCGCAATCATCAACTCAACTTCAACTCCGGAGTCCGGAGTCCGTAGTCCGGACCCCGTCCGTCTCCGCCCCGTAAGTTGTACTTGAAACAGGTCAGAAACTTTCCACCAAAGTGGTTTGTATTAAGTCAATTAAAAAGTTTACTGCCGACTGCCTGACTTTTGATGCCCCCCAACCCAACCCGACCCAATCCACAGAAGCTTCTGCTTGCCCCAGCATTGTCTCCTCGGGAAAGGACCTTGGGGTCCTTAGCATATTTCACACAAATTTACAGCAGCAACATTCATTCGAATCCTGGATTTGTTGTTACTCTGCGGTCGGAGGCAGTCGCCATAAACTAAATTACGCTTGTTTTCATCAAAAAACTTTGTCCTGGGCAATTATTTGTTAAGATTAATTAACACTTCAAATAAATATTTGGCGTTGGCGTGTCGGTAATTGTCTAAGTGCTGGGTGCACTTTACCATATAACATCCCATTTCTATGGCAACTCGGCTCGGATTTCGGTAGCTTCCACTTTGCAATCTCTCTCTAATTGGGATAAGTTGGGCCCACAATTTTAGTTTCTCTGCAAACTGTGAACAAAAATTTGACTTTGCATGCACTTTTGGCAAATGGACAATCATTCATTTGGCCCGAGGCCTTTAATTCCAGTTGGTGTGAAGGACACACACAAAATACCTCATTTAAAGAGGACAGCAAGGTTTAAGGAATCTTTCATATTTGATACTGTATGTAACTGGCTTATAAATTAAATAAAGTATTCTTGTTATTTAATCAATACAACTTCTCGTTCTTGATTAATTTCAGTGCTACCCAAGTACGATCCCTTCATTTCGGGCGTGAAACTTGCATACAAATATCATGACTATCTCGTGGCCAACTGCAGTTCTGAGTGGTCGAGTCCTGCGGCCAAATTGATGTGGTATATCAACAATAAGACGGTAAGTAAAGGTAAACCAATGGGATGAGGTAGTCATATATGATGAATACTGAAGTAGGTACCTTCACACTGTGGGAAAAAAGAGAAACTAATATGCAGAAGGCGTAAATTTTACGTTTTTCAAAGAGTTTTAATGTCTTAACCAATTAATTAAAAAAAACAACTAGTTTTTTTCGGGTTTCTAAGACTAAGAAGAAAGCTTTAGACGCTGTGAAGGACCCAATAAGTCATATATTTTCTCGATCTGCATCAACAACCGAGTCGATCTGGGCATGTTCAACAGAAAGAATATCTTTTACCAATTTCTTATAAATTTAATAAGGGGTCACATAGTTAAAATTGTCAATTGATAAAGAAATGGAATGTCTTAAATTTTATAACATATTATGCAGATTCGTTAACCTTATAAAAATTAGTACTACTTTCCGAATTGAGATGCACTTTTGTTTGATAGATTTCCTCTGCAAGGATAAAGAAATTTCGGTTTCTGAAGCTAGTTACTTTCTTGTATACTCATATAGAAAAGACAAATGGATATGAGCTAACAGGTCCCAAATATATACGAAAATATTAGTTTAACATGACAGCATGCACAAGAAAATGTTGTTAGGCTAATGTTGCTAGAATCATGAATAGCAACAATCTTTCGAGCGGACATAACATACATTTTGCAAAGACAAAGCATGGATATGCACAGCATCTTTAGTTATTAATTTATAATATCCTTTGTTAATTATATCATAGTACATTTTTTTTAAATTTATTTCATTTCGATTTTGAATATGCACTGGGAAAAGAGCTTACTAAACCTAGCATTAGTTAATATAAACAACATCCTAGTTTTATTTCACCAAAAAGATTGCAGAAACAACGCAATTAATTAGTTTTTCTCTATTTATTATAATATATAATTTTATAAATTATTTGTAATAACTCCCCATCACCGGGAACACTTTCCCTTTTTTGCAAAGTGCATCCTTGCGACCTCATTGCATATTTAAGGTGTGTCAGCGACGTGTTTTGACACAGCCACAAGGCCCAGACACATGTCGCACATCAGTCAGTCAGTCGGTCAGTCCCCGTCCTGGTCATCGAATTTGTCCAAATGTTGACAGAGAACTGCAACTGGGAATGGGAATGGAACTGGCACCTGCCACCAGGTCCAGGTCACGCCCGCATGTGGTCCGAGATTTGGCTTTAACACTCCCCTTTCTCCTCTCTCCTCCCTCTGGTCTTCTCTTTCCAATCACATCGCACCGACCACAGGCACCTGGGCACAGCCTACTGCCGCAAGTCAACGAGGTCACCCGCCATGCCGACGGCTTCCACCTGTTCAGCAGCCACCTGCAACTGCGTCTGCACCTGGACGACCAGCGGTTCATCAGCAAGAGCGAGGTGCTCCAGCTGAGCTGCTCCGCGGACATCATGGGCATTGCGAGTGTGCGGCGTGAGAGCCGCGTGGAGACCACTATTCTGGCGCTGAAGGATGCCGGCACCAATCAGCGGCTCACCGAGAACGGGTCCTGCATCACAGGCCAGCCAGGTGAGTGTTTCAATCGATTCGAAGGAGAATCTTAAGGGGTACATTTTGTTTCTTAAATTTTTAATTAAATTTTATCAATAATGAATACTATTTTCTTATATTTTCAGCTTCCCTGGCCGCCTGGCTTTTAAGTCTCGTCCACTTCCTGCGCTGGCATGGCACCCAGAGTTAGTGGCTAGCCTTGACGGGGGTCCTTTTTGTAGCCTAAGTTCGCAGGAAATAGGAAATATTGTATGACAGACATGGGGCGTCCAAGCAAGTGGAACCCTTGCACCATTTCGAGCCAAGTGAATAGTTAACAAGCCAAGGCAGCAGCAACAGTTGAATTTGTATATAGTCGAAATCGAATTAGTCTAGGTCCGAGCAGGAAGCCCAGCCCCATTGCCCTCATGAGTGTCACAATGCAACATTTAATTATGTGTAAAGTGCAATGCCGAAAAATCAACACGAAGTGTGAACTATGGAATATAATATAGGTATCTAAACAGATAATTTGCTACAAAATACGATTATATGTATGTCAGAATTATTTCCAATGGGTGAGAGAGGAGAAACATTCGAATATCAACAAATTTACACATGAATATTTGAGCACAGAAAATAAAAAAGAGGAACACACACAATCAATGGCAAGTAAACTTAATTATTGTATGTGAATTGTTAATTGTATTAAATGATGTATGGGAAATAAATAAATAAAATACAAATACAAAGTAAATGGTAGAAAATTAGTGGAGAATTTTGGAACGTGTAAGAGAGTGTTCTGTAAAGTAAGTATTAAATACATTTAAAGGTTCATAAATCATTATATAAACTAAGGAATAAGTTTTATTCCTGATACTTCCAAATTTAGAACCATCAAATAATTTGAAGGAGAAATTAATTTAAACCATTTGAACTTCTTATTCTATAAATCAATTACTACTATATCTTACCTAAACTAAAATCCTTTTTTTATTAGTCTTACAATTTGTTGACAAAGCTTTCATCCATTTGTTAAATTACTAAATATTCTTTAATCTTTTAAGTGCTCCTCGATTCTGGGAAAAACTTTCCTAGATACCTTTTAAGATCCTACACAAGAACCCTTCACTGTTGGCCAAAACAGGGACCTTCAACCTAATGCCACTTCCGCTCAATTCCCATAACCAAATGGGGAGTCCTGGCTGAAGGAAAAAAAAGCACCGCTTATGCCTCTCATTTCCTTTCCTGCAGTCGTTTACCTAACTTATGGCAAACAAATACAAGCAAACAAAAACACGGCGAAATTGAAAGGAAAATTCCAACAAGGGGAAATTCGATTTAGCATTCCCTAAACAAAAAAAAGAAGATATATATATATATATATATATATAATAAAACCAAACACTGTACAAGGTAGTGAAAAATATTCAACGCATTAGGACAAATCCGGGCTAAAATATGCAATGGCCAATGGCCGCCTCAGGTAAAAATGTCGCTGGCAAAAATAACAGGGACAAAAAACTGTCAGGCATTGACCGAAAATTATGCATAATATTGCCGTGGGCCAAAAAAGGAAATATAGCACAAGCGAAATGGGGAGCAAACACAGATAAGTTCCGGCGCCTCTTGGGTTTGGGTTCGACTTGAGTTCCAGCACCGGATCCGGATCCGGTCCTACTCCACCACCGATTCGCCGCGGGCCCATTAAATGACGGAAGTAAATAAGCTTGACAAATTTCCACTCATCATTTTTGCATTAATTCTGCCTCCTTTCTTTTTTTTTTTTCTGGCCAAACCGACAAACCAGCCAACAGCAAAGAGACACGGGCGCTGCAGCAAAAAAAATGTCCTTTGATTAATCAAAAAATTTACCACGGCCAATGGAATGGGAAGAAACAACAAAAACAAAAACAAAAGCAGCAAGCTGCCACCAACAAAAAGCAAACACAACAAATTGCCAAAGAGGCGCCGGCGGTGCTCTGGTATTTTTTTTTCTCGAGTCCAGGACGAGGCGCCAAAGGAAACCCCAACTCAAGCAAAGTAGCACTCCTTGGAGTTGCTCAGAAGTATACACATGGAGAAAATCTTTGAGATTTTTAGATAATTTAAATTCTGAAAGAACCCAGCAGTTATTCAGTATATATAACTTAAATAAATTTATTGGGAACTCGTTTAAAATATTGCATTTTTAAACTAAACTATATTGAATTACTTTTTAAACTAGAGCTAAGTTAGGAGCCTCTTTAAAACTATTATTATGAAAGCGCCTCAACTGAATCTTATTATATTATTATTAATAATGAATTGTATAAATATTATTTTAGTTGGAAATTATAGAATAAGGAGTATTAGTATAAAATGAACCCCATTAAGCGATAAGCAAGGGTTCTGTTAGCAACCTATTTATATTTATCAAAGTGATCAGATTTTAGTATATTTTAATAGCACATTTTGTTCAGTTATTATAACCCCATTATTTTGTCGTAAATTATATATTTATATATATTAAATTTAAAAAATGTATATATAACTTATCTTATAAAAAACTTTAAAACTGATTAAATTAGTGTCTAGTATGAGTATATCTTTAAATATGTAGATACTATTATCCAAACTAAAATTATCCTTCACTTCTTCCCAACATCCGTTTCAAACCCCGGTTCGGTTCTATATCTATAAATATTTCTTGGAACACATTTTTTCTCAGTGTAAAGTCTAAAACATTGGTCCGCAGCTCTGGAATATACAGATAGAGATGGGAGCTGACGAAGATTTCACAGATTTTTGCACGCGATTTGTCAGCTCGACATTTCCGGCGACATCACCCAGGGCGGGAATAGGATTTGAGTTTTTTTTATTTCCACTTCTTAAACCTGTATTTTTTGGCTGCCACAGAGCGAGCGACAGTCCAAGTTGATTTAGTAAGTCACGTGGCCGCGTAACTGTAAATTGCCTCATCCGGAGTGTTGGTGTTGGGTTCCAGGTGTGGTGGGTTCGGGGGAAACGTGTGCCACAAAGTGTCACCGTGGTTATGCCCCGTCTTTTATTTTCTCAGAGCACTTTTCCGCCGCTTTCCCCAGCCAGTCTTTTTAGCCAAATATTTTTACACTGAATTTGGCTAAGGAAATACACACTTTTGACCGCAGGCTCCGAGCGAGAAAATGTACAAAAGGCACAGGTACTGTTATTTTTTTGGATGACGAAAGATAAAAGAAAACATCTTGGGGACGAAACTTGGCTTTAAATTAGCGTTATATAATAATAAATTCAACTACAAAATATATGAAATATATTTTTATTTAAATAAAATAAAAGTGTTTATTTTGTCTTATAGTTCACAATTAAATTTAAAGTGTTTCCCATTTTAAAACCAATTTTCGATCTGAAATTACACAAGTTTTCCCCAAGAAACACACAATATTATACACTTTCCATTCCAAAAATCAAGCGTTTAATTATTTGCCTTAAGAATGCCTTGATGGTTGAGGGATGATGATGATGGCTCCACGCTAGATGCATTTTGTAATTTGGGCAAAGAAAATGTTTTAAATGAAATGAAAACACGTAAGCGCCTCCACTTCCACGTCTTCTGTGGGTGGGCGGCCACCTTGTAGTTTCTGGCAAATGAAACAAAAGCAAAAACATGAGCATAAGAGTCGCTTCTCAGGTGGTAACATGCAGCAAGGATTGTTTTCCTACCACCCCTCCCCCCCTGCCAGGAGTCCTTGATTAATTTTCTCATCTGCTCCAATTTTGCAGTTTTTACTGGCTACGCCTCCTGCCTCTCCTTTAACAATTTAAAGTGATAACAAAGCGAGGCGAGATTTTAATTTAATTTCATTACGTTTTTTTTTAAACGTTTGGTCCCCTTGGCTGTGTTTTTATTTAACCGGCTTACAATTGGCCCGATCAGTGCGACATCCATCCTCGTCAGCTGGTTCGCCTAATGGCCAGTGACACTGATTTAAATTAAATATTTGACCGGTCCGAGTCCGACTCTGTCACTCTGTCAACACGGGATTCAAATAAACATGAACTGTTTTTCACATTGTTTCAGTTGCTGCTATCCTTTTTTCCTCCTTTTACCTCTCTTTCTCTCTATATTTTTGCTCTTTATTTTTTGTATTTTTTTATTATTTAATTTAAAAATAACTGACTAAAACAAAGTTGATTTTTTTAAACCAATGACAGACAGCTCTAATAACAGGATTTAAACTGTGGTCGCAAGTGATGGACTTTAACATGACCTATATTTAAGGATTATTGAGAGATACTTTTAGTAAATTAATACTAATTAATATACAAAGTTTTTTAATATTTATGAAACATATTTTAAGCATAGAATTTGTTTTATTTTAAATAGAAATTTAAATATTACATGTATTTCAAAACGTATTAGTTAGTTTTAACGTAGGTATTGATACAATTTTATATTTAAATTTTATTAGTTTATTTTTATAATTTAAACAGTAATCATAAAATGCTAATATTGTATTCTTCTTGTTCAAGAACCTTTAAATTATTTTATACTAATAAATATAATTTAAAAAAAGTCTTCTTTACCAAACACTTGATATAAAAATAGCTAAATTTTCATTACTTTCCAATACTATAAAATTATTTCAATACATATTATAATTTCAAGCAAATTCTTATATACTCTCCGCACCCATTTCATGAATTTAAACTAAGCTTGAAATCTAAAAAAAATCCTGAAAAATCCTTCACCCATGAATGAGCTTTGCAAAATCAGTCAAGTCAATGTCAGCAAAAGGAGTTTTCTCTCTCTCTTTTTTAAAAGTGAGCATTGATTTTACATTTTGAGCCGAGGCTGTCAGTCAACGCGTTGCGAGGTCATGACTCGTGAGTCCTGAATCCTGATTCCTGACAAGGCAACTGGACCCGACATGCGTTCGACGTGATGATGGCAATTTAAGCACAAACTCTTTCTCTGAGTTGCTCCTTTTTTTGGGGGAGTTAGAAAGGCTGATGACACTGTGCAAATAAATACAAACTAAAGTACCATAAAAATATGATACATTTAGAACTGTTTAATCATTAATATGTACTATTGAATTCTTTGTTAAATTTATAATCTTCTCGTTGTTAATTACGATTTTTTCCCAGTGTTATCTCTGTTGTAATTAAATGGGAAATCGTCAAAGGTGGGCCAAATGACAGATGTGTCCCAGTCTCCCAGTTGCCATTGTGATGCCTTTTGCAAAGAACTGCCAAAGGCAGCAGTCGTCTTGTCCGTTGAATTTTGACTGCTGGCAGTTTTGGGGAAAATCTAGTGGAATACAGGGATAGGGAGGAGTGTGGCGACTCCGGAGGTTTTTCACACACAGCCTGCTGTATCATTGGCAAATTGCATTGACATATTGTTGCTATCGGCTATCTGGGGCCTTCTTCGGTCCCTGGGAAATGTCAAAATGTCGCGTCACCATACACGGACCTCCCACTCCCTACACCACCCACTCCCGGATCCAAAGGCCAAAGGCAATCGAAATTGCCAATCCATATCCCGAAGCCAACCCGCAACCCCCCGTCACCTTCTGCCAGGACATGGAGCCTATAAAGCCTTTGGCTTTATGCTTGGCATTAAGTGGACTTATAATTAAACGATTTGCTCATTTAATCGCGTCCGTTTATCGTCCGCTGAGAGGCGAGCATGGAAACGAATTTCCCTTTGCTGCAGGACATGTCGGAAAATGTCAAGTGTATGTATGTGCTATGTCCTTGTTGTTGTCAGTTAATGTTGTTGGCTTTTCTGATTCCACACTCGCCACTGGGTCCAAGATAAAGTCCTTCACCAAAGGGCCAAAACTTGGGCACAAACTGATGCTTTAAGGTTTAATGAGAAATCCAAATCGGACTACACTATATAACGCTAAATAAAATATAAGACTTTAATATAAGACTTTAATCGAAAATGATATTGATTTATATTTCACAGTCCTTGACTCGTCCGTAAAATAAAACGTTTTTTATTTAGCTTTTTAATGCATAAATTCTCCTATTCTCGTAAATAAACAAAGTGCCTGTTATATGTGTGATGTTTTAAGTTAATCCAATAACTTAAGTTACCAATTATCTTAGAAAAAAAGATGGGGAAGAAGGTGGAGTAAAAAAGTTTGAAATGTCAACTAGGAGGATGGTCGACCTTCGAGCACGGGTAATATCCCACATGGGTGCCATTTAAGCAATCTGTCATATGCCCGCCAAGATGCTTAACTTTTCCCCCACCGCGACTCGGAGCTTTTCCTCCGTTTTCCTTTTTTTATGACAGGGCACGACAAGCGAGCGACAATAACAACGATAACAACAGCAGGAAAAATAAATGGGCAACCGAAGCGGCGTGTGAAGTCCTATATAATGCACAGTGAGAAAAAGGACTGAATAAGCTGATTTCACATTTAAATTTCATAGATTACAATTTTAACATTTTTATAAAGAGTTCCTTAAATAAAGTATTTAAAATGTCAATGATAGCATGTCATTATCAATAGGATAATAGTCTATGTCTAGGATATGTCTAACTTGCAAATAACGATATTTAAACTAAATGTTCTTTAACAAAGAAATACCATTTTCTAATTAGTCGCTCCTTAAATTATTTTAATTAAATTATAGACATATATTTCCTAATCAATACTATTAAAAAATGGTATATTATATGTTTTATATATATATTTATTTATAATTTTTCTCGTGCCTTGGAGGCCCATTCCGAAACCAGACTGGGAAAGTGGATGAGTTGCTGCCGTGTAGTTATAAAAATGGTTATCTTAAAGCTGCTGTCAGTTGGCAGGGATTCCCCTCCAGGTTCTCTGGCTGTCTGCTGATGAAAACGAAGTTGACAATACGAATGAGTTTCTTATAACAACAGCCGGAAAAGCGGCGGGCGGCTAAGGGTAAGTGAAGGGGCGGATACAAACTGAAGCGACAGCAAAAAGTGCGAACGTGCCGCCAAATCAAAAAACAAAAACAAGAACAAAGAAAATAATAAAAACAAAACCAGACTTAGAGCAGAGGGGAGTAAAAAAAGCAAAATCGAAATGGAAACTTTTGGCTCTTGGCTCGGATTGAGTTCCTTGGCTTGTCCTAGGTTTCATGGATAGTAAATCTCACAATACCAGAAAAAAAACTGACAGAAAGCGAAATAGCTTCTGTCTATGTTACATCTCTTTGCCTTGTTTTAGGGAAGAGGGAGTTTAATAAATCAAAATTATTTCACAATTCGAATATATTCACAAGATGTTTGCATGGCTTTTACAGCTTGTAAAGGCATTATGACACTTCATTGTTGCTTTCACTCATTGAAGGAGAGACAGAGCAGTTTGTTTTAGATTTTTATGTTACAAAAGTAATGGTCACACTGGTAGAAAAGGTACTGAAAACATAAATGTAGTGTCATAACCCCATTATACCAAAGGTTCATATCTATTAGATATTATCTAAGACCCATACGAAGTAGAACTGTTCAATATTTGCAATAATTGTTTAAATTTTTCTTCCATAATTTTCATTATAAAACATATTTTAAATATTAGAAACCTCTTAAGATCATCCATTGCAATGGGAATAAGATACATACCTTCTACAAGAGTACGGAAATGTCTTTTAATTTTACTCCCGAGTTTCAGAGCTTATGTCAAAGGAGCGGTGGAATCTTGGTGTGTTGGCAGGATAACACCAATTTCGCTTATGACAGTTATTACAAATGCTGCTTGTCTGTGCGCCAGATAAAATGAGCAGCAGCCAGAATCGCTCCCACATCTCGTTTATCCCGCAAATGAAAAGATATTGTTGGGCCATTCCGGAGCTCCCTTGGCGCTCCTTTGAGCACCAAACCCAGTCATTGAAGTTTCTTTTTTGGGGGGAATCGATTGTGCTGGCAGAGAAGTGGAAAAAATCAAGAATCTCAACAAATATCATATTAATGAAGTGAAGAGTCAACTTTGACATATGCTGACTAACAGACTTATTATTTATCAGTGAATGCACTGGAATAAAAAACTTTATAAATGGAATATCATAAAATCAAATACATTTCATGTAAAACGAAAGGAGTATAAACTAATATACATACTTAATGAATATTTATGAATAACTTTTCTTAAAAGACGTTCAGTAGACTAACCTTATTTAGTTTCCAGAGCTTCGTCTCAGATCTTTATAATATTATAAGCAATAAATTCGTTTATGAATTTTTTGCTTTTTACTTAGCTTTGACTTTTAGCTTTATTTCGGGTGCACAAGTTCAATTCTGGCACAATCGCTAGAGAAAGCTTTTTTAAAAATATTCTTAGACTGTCGTAATCATTGTTGATTATTCAGGCTCTTGCTGAAATAAAATTATAAACTATAGAACCAAGTAGAAAAAGTATAGTCGAGGATGACGTACTAAAATATACCCGGTACCCAAAGAATTCTGGGAAATATTAATAAAGAAAACAAGGAGAGCTTCCTGCTTTGGCACTTAGCTAAGGGTTCTTTTACGCTACTGGAACCTATTATAAATAAAAACATTTTCGATGGAATTAATAGAAAGACTTTAAAGCAATATATTAAATTGTTTATATATTTTTCTCTATTTGAGAAACTTATATAGTTATTTTATTATCCAGAGTTAATAACATGTCCCATTTCGATGGCCGTATTGACAACATTTTTGGGGAAAGTGGTACGTTCTCTGCTGACATAAAGCTCGAAGATTCGCATTGCAGTTGTTGTCGTTCATTCCATAACTTCCTGATCTCTTCCAGATGTGGACGCAGTGCTCAACACCTCCGGCATTATCTGGTTGTCCGTGAGTCCATCCGGATGAGGTCAGAAGCTGACCCGTGGCTATGGAATGGAACATACCCCGAGCTCTGCCGAGGTCCCAGTAGGAAACCCAAAACAGATCGTTGGCTTCGGAATTAAAGCCGTGCTTAATCAAATAATCGGATACTGCCTCCAGATCGGCGATAGAATCAAAGGTTGCCAGGTCAGCGCCATGGGCAACGCAATGATCGCGTGCGGCATAGAAATTTGTTTTTATGGGCGATATGTAGTAGTTCTTAGGACCACCACGAAAGAAATCTGTTTTGAAAATAGGAAAGAAATGCATACATAAGAATATAAATATTTCATGTTTAATTAAGTGAACTCACCATTGGCCACAGCTCTAACGCTGAAGATCGAAATGCTGACCAAAATACAGAGAGCTGCTTGTTTGTACATCTCACTTCTATTGTTTTTTCCAGACTGTTGCACTAATCTTTAAGTGATCTATTTTTATAGCCAGCTTCTTCGTCTGTATTAGTCTTATCTCGTTAAACCAAGAACAATGCTAATTAAAATAAAATACATTATTTTGGTCAAAATCTAAGCACGTGTCTATATAATATACTTAGATTACGTTTCAAGAGTGGTAAAGAACAATGATAAGAAAACATTTATTGCATAATTAAGCACATTAATAATATACATTATAGTTTGCAGTTGATTAAATTTTTTGAAAATCGGAAATTGACTGCAATAATTGAAAAGGTGTTATTTTGACTGCAATAGTTTGCATGCGGAAAACTAATATGGTTCATTGGTAGGGATTTTTGAGTTTAGTTTGAAAGAATTAATCTAAAGAAAATATAAATGTATATTTTGAATGAAGTAATTAGCAACCTACAACAAAAAAATTATTATAAATATATATACTTTTAATTATGATATATTTGTATCTGAGTTTATTTAAATCTAAGTAAAGAAAATCATTTTTGAAAGACAATGTTTAAAATTTCTTAAGTGATTGTTATGTAGGTCTTTTAGATTCTCCAAGGTACATATCTTGACTTCGATGGTTAAATGAAACAAATTGGACATAGCTCCTGATGGGAACAAGTTCTTAAGGTTTTCACCACAAATATTTGAAAATACTTTTTACGTTTTTAAACTGTAACTGCATCCGTATAAATACATAAAATTAAAGAATTGGATAAAAACGTTATTTGAAATTTGGATTAAAGAATACTATCCCTCTTGCTTATGAGTTTTGAAATTAATAAATTCTGAATTATTAAGAAACTTGCTCTAGTAGTTCTAAGTCTTAATATGCACAAATGTTTTAACATATGCCAGAAATTTCCTGTCCCAAGCTCACTACTGCTTAAATTCCTCTTTTTTAATACAATACTTTTGTTTTCCCATCTGATTTAGGCATCCATGCCAAAGACTTGCTTAAAATAGACAGAAATTTGCATTATAATTTGCAGGGTGAAACAGAATCGCTGGAATATCCATATATATGTGTGTATGTATACAAAAAGGTGTCAAAGGCCTTTTGTTCGCCTGTCAATGACAAGCAGGCAAAAGTGTGCCAAAAGAGTCGGCAAAAGACTTTGTTAACCCCAAAAACGACAGCGACATCGACTTTGTCAGCTGAGAAAATTGTGTGCAAAATTCAAATCTCTCCCCTTTTTTTTGTATTTTGCTTTTGGGCCCAGTCAACGGGCCGGTCGCCGGCCGCTGTCGTTGGCAGGCAGCCCTTTTAGGCCCGATGCCATGTCTAACATAATTTAAAGCCGTAGAAAATCGTCGAAGTCTGGGCATTTGGGGGCCATAAGCTAAGCGCTGTCAGGCCTGCCAGTTGACCCTGACGAGCAGTCGAGCAATCGATTTGCCAAAGACCCAACGACTTTTACAAGCCTGTCACTTGACTTGGTCCTCGGTCCTCGGTCCTTGGTCCTAGGTCCTTGGTCCTCGCTCCCTTTGTTGGCCGATTTTATGCGGCTACATTGTCGAGGAGGGCCAAAATCGACGTGTGGTAATCGGGTCTCTGGAGCATGGGCGATCCTAAGTCGGATTAGTGACACGCCCCGAACGCACGCAAACACACGGAGGCCATAAAAATTAAATGTTTAGCACTCTAAAAAATCAGGTATTTATATTTAAGAAATTTTTATCGAAAAATCAGTGGCTGAGAAAGGAAAACTAAGCCTAGAAAGTGGGTATTGTGGGTCTAATCACGACTTTTGTCCTCGTTCTCGATGGTTTCCTATAAGATATGTATAAAAAAAAGAAGCAATTTTTGAAAGATATTTTTAATTTATTTATATTTCTTCAGTAAATGTATATTATATATATTTAAATTAATTGCAAATTACATTTCCAAATACAATTTTTCCTCTCAGTGCCGCACATTTTGCATTGTCTCTGGTGCAGCCCGTATCTTGGATTTCAATTAAATGTTCTCCGCCCTCTAATCGAATGAGGAGAAAGCCATAACTCAGTCAAGGCTGCTCCTGCCAGCCGCGAGTGTCCTGCGATTCAATTATGCTGCGCCCCCCCGACCCCTCCTCATTCGCCTCCAAAACTAATCGTAATTGAAGACTGAGCCGCGTCCTTCGCCTTCTCAGGTGTGCGTCTGTACTGGTCTCATTATTTATGGATTTGTTGGTGCAATTTGGCTTAATTAAGGTGTTGGACGTCGTCAGATCTGGTATTGTGTGCAAGGACAGAGAGGTCCAGAGGTATACCAAGCTCTTAGCATCCTTCTAAACAGAGCCACAGAGCAAACATGGTTTTTGGTTAAAACACTTTAAGAAATAGATTTCCGGAATTTAAACATAAAAGAATTATGCAAAAAGCAAAACTTTGAATTTTAAAGACTGCGTCAGGTGACAGAATTAATTGTACACTCTCTAAAAGAAATGATAATTATTTTAATAACATTTTATACATTTGAATTTAAACAATTTACATTCATCTACCATTCTGTTTTAGTTGTACAATTTAAGGTAATATTTCAGTGCTATTTTCTGGTAATTGAGGGGCATAAATGCCATAACGCATATATGTATTTATTTTTATTTCTATGGCCAAGAGTGTGCGCTGCACTTATCCTTTCACTTGATGCGCATAATGAAGAGCACTTTGCGCTTATAAAAGCAATGGCTAAAAACAGGCAACAAAACAAACTGTGATGCAAACAAATAAACAAACAAACACAGAAACGTCAACGAGCGTGCGATTCGCATAAAAAAAGCCTGTTGGTCCAAATGAAAGGCGTGGCACTGGGAGGAGGGGGTTTTTTTGTGGGATGCTGCATTTAGCCAGCTTGAGATCACACCCACACATGCAGAGCCATGCGTGTGCGAAGGACACGAGCAGTGACTGCAAAAAATGGATATTATAGCGAGGGAAGTTTAAAGTGTTTCTTGATTTGTATTACTTACTTACTTTTTTAAGACGATTTAAAATTATATTTCTTACTTTCTTAATGATTTTAAAATCGAATGCAGGTTATTTTTATATAAAAAGAAATAGAAATAAAGATAGAGAAATAGCGAGAGAAAAAGAAAGGGGGCCAAAAAATAAAGAAAAAAGAAGAGTGAGAAAAAGAGAAATAGAGAGAAAGAGAGAAGAGAGAAAGAGAGAAGGAAAGAAAGAGAGAAGAGAGAAATAGAGAAATAGAGAAATAGAGAAATAGAGAAATAGAGAAATAGAGAAATAGAGAAATAGAGAAATAGAGAAATAGAGAAAGAGAGAAAGAGAGAAAGAAAGAAAGAGAGAAAGAGAGAAAGAGAGAAAGAGAGAAATAGAGAAATATAGAAATAGAGAAATAGAGAAATAGAGAAATAGAGAAAGAGAGAAAGAAAGGAAGAGAGAAAGAGAGAAAGAGAGAAAGAGAGAAAGAGAGAAATAGAGAAATAGAGAAATAGAGAAATAGAGAAATAGAGAAATAGAGAAATAGAGAAATAGAGAAATAGAGAAATAGAGAAATAGAGAAATATAGAAATAGAGAAATAGAGAAATAGAGAAATAGAGAAATAGAAAAATAGAGAAATAAAGAAAGAGAGAAGGAAAGAAGGAAAGAAAGAGAGAAATAAAAATAGAAAGAGATAGTGAGAACGAGCTTTCTTAATGTTCAGCCCTGATAGAAAAGTAAATTGATTGTAAGGCTTGAAACCACTTTACGAGCTCTGCTTAAGATACATAAGATACATAGTTTCCTACAAATAAATTCAACTTTTAAATTGTTATAATTAAATTTCTACATCATTTTAACCCTAAAAATGTACAATTTTTAATACAGAGCAATAAAAACTAGCTAAACCCTCGCATTTGCCTTTTTTAATGCCTTTTTTTCATTGCAAATTGAATGCAAACATATGAGAAGCAGAAGGCGCAGCGCATTTCTTGCCGCCCTCTGTCAATTGAAGACCACGCCTGTTTTTTTTTATGAAAAGGAGAACTTAGTTTTTAATTTCACTTTCGCTGCCAGAAACGCCCCCCGCCGGCGGCCTCGTTCACATTTTTGCTCATTTAATACGTGCGTTGCCCGCAAGGACACTCCGCAGCTCCAGTCCTCCCACAGATTTCTACCATTTTTCTATGCACTTTCAGTGTACCTTTTAATTTTTAGAGTAACCGGAATTGTTTTTAATTATTTAATAATAAAATTATAAATATTTAGATGACGATTTAGAAATGATGACTTGAATAAGAACTTGAAAAATGTATCCACTCAAAATTGAACCCTTTAAACATTGGCATTAGGTTGTTAGGGTATCATAAGCTTCGTTTAGTCCTTTCTATCCTCCTTTATTTTTTCTTATTTGATATTTTGATGTGTTTATGTATTTACAGCACACACACATAAATCACACACACACACACATAGTGGCATCCACACCCGTTGGCATGGGCATAAGTGGCTTTAGCCGAGCGTGGAGGGTCGGCCAACAGTAAACAGCTGCGAGATAAATTGCTCATCTGCTCGACCTCGCCGGCGATGTTGTCCCTGCCCCCTCGTGGACCCCTTTTGTAATGCTGGGACTCAGTGTCATCGCTTCGCAGGGCGCTGAGCTGAAGTGTTAAGTACATAAAACCCACATACATTGCGTTTATCCATAATGATGACCTAACTTATGACTCGTCCGGCCACGCGGCGTATACGTAATACGTAATGCGCCTCAGAAGCGGAAAGCTGAAAGCCGAAAGCGGAAAGCGGAAACGAAAATGCCGTTGCTTTGCTGGAATACAAAAAAAATATAAAGCAGATATTGCCGGGAAATTGCTTAAGGCTTTCGACATAAAGACTGGATTTGTGACGACCAACACTTTTATTTCATGTCCAGATACATATACACTTTTCTTTGACAATTAATGCTACTTTGTATTTAGTATTAAGACCATTTTAATAAAACTAAATGATGGGGTTTAAGGATATTGAAATCTAATTGATTACATTGTTAAGAAAATACCAATCTAACGAAGCAATCGTGCAGGGGTTTTGTTGAACTGCCCAATGCACAGTTTCCGACTGACTCCGGTTGCTTTGTCCGTGAAAATCGTATCCTTTGACCCCGTGTGCTCCCTTTTGGCTCTCCTGGCAGCCACAGGGAGGCCAATGGGGACCACTTTGCCACTCAAGTGCCAAAAAATTTCAAAAATCAACACCACACTCAGTTGAAACGGAAAGGAAATGGGAGTAGAGGAAGAAAAGCCGGAGGTGGAAGGAAAACCAATTCATTTGGAAATGTGAAGAATATACAGCTCGGATTGCAATGTCACTTGCAAAAGCCAACCAATCTTGGCGCTCAATTAATTAACTTGGCCAAAAGGTAACGCCGGTCCTGGCCCTAATGAATACCAAATGAGCATATCAGCATGTGTATCCCCCCCCCCCGCTGCGACAGCTCGCGATTTATTTTGAGTAATAAATTCGCTAAAAAAAAAGTGTCACAAATTTATGAAACCGCCAACATTTCAGGGGCACGGATGACAGATTGCCCGGGATGCGAGTGAACAGAGATTTTACGGGGTTGGACTGGGGGGGGAGTGGATTTTTCTCTCCTCCGGATTTATGTGGTAGTCTCTGTGCTCAAGCACTTGACTAACCCTGAAGGATACGAATCCATATGTTCCTGTCGCCATGGCATCACCATCATCGCAACCAGCCGCCATCCCGCTTAGTCATTCGTGCTAATGTACATTTTTTATGCCCACCGCTGATAAGAGAATCCAAATCCATCTCGCAGTCGGCCTCATTCGGGAAACGGTCCTTCGTTTCAATTTACATACGCCTTGTACATGCACTGAAAGAAATTTCATTTCAATCCAAACCCTAAATGTTATACAGAAGAATTTGTATGACTTTAATTGTTTCTTGATGAGTTTTATGGTGTTATGGAAATACGTAGCTCATTTCAGATTTTATTATTAATTCGATTTTTTTTTTCAAGTGTGCTGCTTCCTTCGGGCCACATATAAATGATGTGTCAGTTTGCGTTGCCGGTTGCGTTTTCACATCCAACTCGCTTTCACTCATTTTACGCTTCACCGCCATTCTGTTCGCCTCTTGGTCTTGGTCCTGGTCTCGGTCTCAGTCTTGGTCTTGGCCTCCTCCGGATAAATGCTTAGCCAGGTGAGCCGGTGGACAGGTGAGCAGGTGGGCAGGTGGGATGCTGCGCAGGTGGATGTGGTGCCAAATGGGTGGCAGTTTGGCGTGCGCGCGAGTGCAAAAACAGATTACAGTTCCGGGACATGTTTTGATAAGCAGCAATTTAAAACGTGATGCTATTTTGGGCTTACAAAATCCAAGAAGATTCGCCACAAAATCAATGTTCACTGCGAACTCAACAAAAAACCGGAGATTGGAATTAAAATGGAATCGTAGACAATCTGTGGGAGGCACTCAGGCTTAATAAAACGTTTTCCTATACATTTTGATGGAAAATAAAAGCATAATTATATATTTCCTATTTCAAAGTTATTTCAAATAATTCATGCTGAAATATGGACACATTAGTTAATTGCTTATTAATTGTTTTTTATTGATAAACTTTGATCTGTGTTGTTTATTTTTGTTTCACTCTTATCACCTCGATTCAAGCATTCTAATATAAAATACAATTTATAAAATTGAGTATGCAAACACAAATAAAGTACCGCTTCTTTTAAAGATTTGTAACACATTAAAACTAGAGAAATTCAATTTGACATTTATTCTCCGGTATTGATATTTACCATAAATTGAATTAAAATTTGTAGTGCGCGTAATGTTTACAATGGGGAGATATACATTTATTTATCGTTAAATAATTACCACATTACTCATTATTGTTTACACCTCACAATCTCAACCCTGTTAATTCAATCTTCTACCCTTAAATCTAACATTCGCTAATAGCGCTGTTTCAAATCAATAAAGAAAGTCTTTAACATTTATATTTTGCACCTAAAAAATTACAAAAACACTCTTAAGTTTTAATTTGAAGTAACAAGCATCTGTTTAGCTCTTTATAATTTTATTTATTCTATTTAATTAACATTGTTCTTGCTTTGAAAATGAGATAAGAATAATATAGACAAGGGAGAGCTGGCTATAAAATAAATTCACTTTTGTCAAACAGTCTGGTAGAAACTATAGAAGTGAGATGTATATTCCAGCAGCGCTCTGTATTTTGGTCAGCGTCTTGATCATCAGTGTAAGAGCTGTGTCCAATGGTAAGATGCCTTATATATATTATGTTTTTAATTATATATACTACATTTATTTTTAGTACAAACTGTCTTTCGTGGCGGGCCTTTGAACTACTACATATCACCAATAAGCACCAATTTCTTTGCTGCCCGTGATCATTGTATTGAACATAATGCTGACCTGGCAACCTTTGAGTCAATCGCCGATTTGGAGGCGGTATCCAATTATTTGATTCAACACGGCTTCAATTCAGAATTAAACGATCTATTTTGGGTGTCATACTGGGACCTCGGAAGACCTCAAGGACTTTTCCATTCCATAGCCACGGGAAAGCTGATGACCACATCTGGCTGGATTGAAGGTCAACCGGATAATTATGGAGGTGTCGAGCACTGTGTTCACATTGTAAAAAGGAATGGAAAGTACGGAATGAATGATTACAGCTGCAATTTGAGTCTCAGAGCCTTATGCCAGCAAAGAAAGTAGGTTCACCCGCAAAAATGACATCCAATTGCCATTAAAGTAGACACTGCTATCAGTTTTGGACAATTGGAAAAGCGGGATTATATAATACTTATTTTAAGCAATAGAACAATTTTTAATTGGTTATTTTGTGATCCTAAAATCCAAAACAACTTAGTAACTACTACTTAAAATACAACAATATTGTGTTCCATTTTGGCTTATAGTATTTTAATTTAATGTTGCAGTAGAGACTTACTACTCATAGTAAGACAAACAAATCTAAAGTTGTCCGGCTACCTATTAACTTCAGACTCAGAAATAAATTACAATATTTCTTGTACATCTTAACAAAGATATTCCCTTTACATCACAACAAAAGAGGTTGTTCTTTAAAGATTCCATTTGCAGAAACTGACTCAGAGACTGAATTATCTTTTGGGGGTTATTTAAAATCCATTTAGCCATTTTGAATCGCATTTAAATGGACCTGATGAGAGCAATATTCCAGAGCTTCGCATTTAGTTATCATTGTGTGGCAGCTGAAGACCAATTAAATGGTGGAACTACGTTGGCCAATTTATGCGCATAAATACTCCGTACAAAGGTACTTTTTTTTAATGTTTTTATTCGGCCAAAAAATGTATGTAACAGTAACGTGCCGGTCTTGGCGATGTGTGTACCTAACATGCGAATATGTAAATGTAACTCGTCTAAAAGAAAAACAATCATTTCGCCATAATAAGCACTAAATATGCAGGACGCAGCCAGGCAAACAATTTCGCTGTACCTGGGCCAAATCGTTTGCCGCAACTCGTATTGATAAATATTAGTTAAAATATGAATAAATTTATATGTGTGGTGCGTGGTGTGTGGTGTGTGTACGCGAGGGTGTGTTGCTGGGCCGACAATTCGCCTAACGTTTGGTAAACATAACGAGCTGAGTAAATTGATTGCATGACGCAATGAAGCGCGTCCTGTAAAACCACTTAAAACATGCCTCAGTACATGCCATAAACCCAAAGGCGGAAGAATCTCTCGCGAAGGATGTGGGTGCACACATCCTCATCCCTCATACGTACCTCGTCCCTTACCCCACAAACCCCCTCTCCTTTCATTTAATGCCAAAAGGAAAGCCGCTGCCACACCGCCGTGGCACAAATACACATGCAAAACCGGCAAACATTTAACCAGCGGCTATGAAATTCGATAAATATCGACAAAGTTTGGCGCTTATTGGCGCTCGGCAGCCACGTGAACGAAGTCGAAGATGAGGATGAGGACGCGAACGAGGACGAGGACGAGTACTCGAGTCCTCCAGTCGGCGCACGGGTTTATTAGCAACAGGATACGAGGATTCTCGGCAGACTCCACTCTTCGAGATGACACAGGGGCATAGGCACAGTGAAGTAGGAACTTAGAAAAAAACTGCTCAAATACCAATGGAAAAGTCAAATAAAAATAACGAACTTCATATCCTATCGGAAATATATTTTATCTTGATATAGACCTTTTTAAAGATCGAAATATCTAGCTTTCTAGTGTAAAAATATTGATTTAATCAAAAAATGTACAAATATATGTACATATATAATATATACATTGTGATACATCAAACAGAATTATCGATTTATTATCCACATATACATAGGAAAGCCTAAATTTCCATTTACATATCGAATTCTGAAACAAATATCATTAAAGAATCGATATATTAATTTCCTTAGCACAACTGTCAAAATGAATAAAGTACTGACAAGATTCTTAAAATTGGATAATGTTTTTTATTTTAGATTATTATTCTAAATATATACTTTTTTATAATTTATAACCAATTTTGCTCAACACATTTTCCTCAGCTTACAACACACAGTACCCGCTACCATTTGACTGGAGTTTACGGAAAAAAAAAGGCGCAACTTTGGCATAAATATGCATTCGCCACACCGCCCTCTCCTCATCAGCTTTGTCCCGATTTCCTCGTTCCATCCCACTTATCCTGCTTCCAGGACTCGACGGAGTTCAATTACGCGCGCTTTCCACCGCCCCGATATGTCGTGGCCCCGGGGGATTATCGCTTACATTTTCAGTCAAGTGCGTTCGTTTATTGTGCAAAAGTTCAGTTTGTTTCGGCTGGTTTCACTGTAAAAAAATTAAATTAGAAAAGTATTTTAAAATATAGGAAAATAATACAATTATCTATTTAAGTATATTTTTAAAGGCATTTATTTAATTATAAAGGGAATTACGAGGTATGAAAGAATCAGTTACATATTAAAGATATAAAATTATATATTTATATATATTATAAAATTAAACACATTATACTTAATCTAAAATATTAAAAGATTAAAGAATAATTTAATTAAGATTGATTTAATTTAATGATCTTAACACTAAAATATAAATATAAATGAACTTGTATTAAATACACTTATTGAAATTAAATAATAATACAAGCAAATTTTGTTGGGACATTTTTACTAGCACAATTCGTAACCGGTTCTTAAATTTTTCATTAAAAATATTCCTATAAATTTCATAAAATATCCTTCAGTGTATTAATTCCGTTCCCTTTTCCTTGGCTTGCCAGTGAGTATTCCGAGGATATTGTTTCGCTAGGAAGAGGCGCGATTTCGAGGTGGAAGCGCTTGACTTTTATGAGGTAAAAGTGAAAGGCGAGTTGTCGTCGCAACGTTCGTTGATTTGAAAATGTCATAGGCACAATATATATTCACGAGCACATATGTATGTACGCATTTGCATGTCGGGATTTGCCGGAGGGTCCTGGATCCGGATCCGGATCCCCTTCCCCCTTGTAAGTAGACTTATGAGTTATGCGAACCATTTTCGTGTTTTCAAAGAGCGCAAATACAGGAATATATATCTTTGCCGTTTTATCCCCTCCCCAACGGATACATATGTAAATTGAAAAAATTGCATACAAGCATTATGTTTATGTAATAGGAAATATAGGAAATGGGGCCAGGTCCGTATTACATTTGTATTATAATAGCTAACTGAGGAAAAGGGAAGTAATTTGCATTTCGATTTCAGTTCTTTTCTCTCCCCACTTTTAACATCTTTTCAATGATCTTTTCAATGGGGATTTATGGTGTATATTTAGCAAATCAATATGTGTAAATAAAGGAGTCGCTTTTCTTTGGGTCTTAATTTGTTTTAAATTCGTAATTTGGCTTACAATTGGTTCGTTGTTTGTTTTTTTGTCAAGAGCTGTTAAGCATTTTATAAGAACCTGTATCGGATTATCTAATAATAATACAAACAGGCTTTCAAACAAATAATGTCTCTTTTTTCCTAGAAACACCAAAAATCAATGAAAAAAGGAATTTTAATATTAATACATATAAAATGAGTTCTTTTGTGATTTACAAATTTAAAACTTAAGCTTTATAAGTCACTAAATAATTACTAAATGTTACATAATTATTTTATAAAATACACATCGATTAAGTAATTATAAGAATAGTTACTGTTTATAATATTAGTTTGGAAACAAATTATTTAGAAATTATGTTTATTTTAGATGACTTTAGAATATTAATCACTAAACAGCAATAGAGAGTGTTTTCCTAAAAGTAAAGTTTTAAATTTTAATGAAAAATCATCGCTTTATTTCGATTTAAATGTGTACCAAATATTCGTCTATTCATATATCTAAAAATATTAATTATTTGGATATATCTGAATTAGAAAAGGTTTCTCCAAATATATTTAATAATTGAAATTTAAAAACCATTTTATTTTAGTTAGAATATTATTTATACTCTTTGTCGTTTCCACCATTGAAGGTCAAATATTAAATTTTAATATTCAATATTTTTTGCTCTTGTCGTGTCAAGAATTTTTCATTTTCCATTGTTTCGCTGTTCATGCTGTTAACATTTTTTGGAATTTTTTTTTTTTTTTTTTGCCATGTCAGAGTAGAGGCGTGACATTAGCAGCTGTCGCCACCGCGGGGCTTCGTTTTCGGCCGCCAGTGCAACATGAAACCCAATCCAACCCGATACCCTCACTTTCACCCTTCGTTTCCGGTATTTCTTCCTGATGGATAACATGCAACTGCCATTGTGTTTGGCTTTTTCATCACTGAACAGATTTCCTTTTTCACCGATTTTTTTTCTCATGTTTGGGACAACAGTTGCTTTAAAGCAACCAGCGACAGCGTAAACTTTTTAATTAATATCAAATATGAAACGTTGCCATATCGGCGAGCAGGAAGAAACATAAAAAAAAATTGTCCCAAAAGCCTAACCGGGGAGAAAGTGAAATGAGGCAAAGCTTGTTAAAAGTTTTAATTAAATTGATTGTCGCTTTTTTGTTACCATTTTCACATTATTTCTTCTAAGGACGAGCATTGTCCGCGTGCCTCGAAGGGAAATTAATTGCAATAAAGAAACAGTATTCGAAATATGAAGAAAACAATATGTTTGTAAAGGATAAACACAAAGCTTTAAAATGTAGATTCTTGTTATTAAATTATAAATTATTGAATACATTATAGAGAATTCCCTCCTCTGGACAGATAATTAAGGCTTATAGAGACCAGTAGTCAAGTGGCAAATATTACAAGCCTTGAACACCGATGGTGATGAAATTCCAACCATATGTCGTCCACAGACTGAATCCTTAAAGGTACATATACAAATATATATCTATATATATTTTATATAAGCATAGGTTGCCTCGTGTCCCATTTAATGTAGTTGTTAAATCATAATGAGAAGGGGCCGAGTGCCTTTCACATGTACGAGCCGCCAACCTTTTATTTAAACGATTTAAAATGAGCGAAAAATATTTTTTCAATATATTCCCGTATATATATTCTTGATTTCGCTTTATGCCACGCATCCATACTGAACGTAAGCTTTTTTTCGGCACTGTGTCTTCCCTGTTATTTTTTTTATTGATTGCATTTTATATTATTATTTAAAAATTAATTATACGCCACGTTGGCTCGTTTGGGTTTTTGCCGCATTACTTCGTCGCATTTTTACCGGTCGTTGCCGTTTTTAATTTAAATATAAAATATTGACTTGTGCTGGCACCGGCGCCCAACATCGTCATCAGGTCCATATATTAAAAAATAGTTATCACATATTAATTTAAATACACTTTCCCTCGATGACGCCCCGTTCCACCAAGAGGACTCAATGATGTCCTGATGGCTTTAAAATTAATAAGCCATATTGCCTTCTGGGCAGCTTTTCGAAGCATCTAAACGGATTGAAAAAAAAGTTTCTTGTGCGATTTCTTGGTCGAAATACTCTGCTTGTTTGGGGTATACCTGAAATTGGTGTCTGGGAACTTGTAAAATGCTTAGCTTATAAAATGATATTACATCTTTCTTCTTTACAAAAACAATTTAAAATAATCTTAACACGTAAATATTAATATAAGCTCGCACTTTCTAATCTATGGTTTCCTTATTTCTAAGATATATATTTTCTCAGAGTGTCGCCAAGTCCAAGCCATCGCTTTCTGGGCTTTCGCTCCAGTTTGGCATTTCCGGATTGGAAAGACCAGGAATAGCGAGACCAAAACCCAAGACCAACCGAGATCGTGTGCGCGAGACTCATAAAATTGCCGGCTATTTGAACGGTTTTTTGTGCTGGCCAAAGCCAAGGCATTGAAAAATAAAACGCGGCCAACAGAGGGGGGAGAGTGGTGGTGAAAGGAGCGGGTAGAAAATAGAGCAAAGTCAAGCGCTTGGCTGGAATTTCATACCATTGGTATGGCAGCTCCAGCTCCTACTCCTGCGACGACGACGACTTCTAGCTAGTGTGAGTGTGTTATCCTTTGACAAGGAGCATAGATGCTGCTGCACCATCGTCCCTCGTACCTTCCATCCGCTGTCCACGATGTCGATGTGTTGGCCATTTTATTATATTTGCTAGCAGACATTTTTGCTCTAATACGAAAATGGGATTTTAGGATATAAAAATTATGATAGATTACCGTTGCACTCCCATACAGAAACCATCACACCAAAGGGGATTTTTTTTTTGTGAAGTTCCCACACTCAGGACACCATTCCGTTGTCCTTATGTGCACTGTAATAATATTTTTATAAATGTAAGGTGAAATAAGAAAGTTAATAATTCATGAAAGTACAATTTTAAAGTTATTTTGAAATTTATTTGTTAATTTTAAACCGTGATTAGTGAAGGTTGTATTTATCATTTTATATAATCTATAACTTTAAATAAGTTATTTTATAATGTTTACAATTTAATATTCCCAAAGATGGATCTTAACTCTTTAAACTATAAAAAGAAGAAAAATTTTATCAATCAATTGGTTGTATGTTCTTCAATTAATGAAGCAGTTATTAAGCCTATGATTTTAAAATCAATTCATTAGGCTTGAATATACAGTTGTTATTTCATAAATAATCATTAGTATCCAACAATCAAATTTACACTTTCCAGTTTTTACATAAGTATTACAATATAATATACAAATATTTCACAACATTTATAACTTACATTTTAATTTTGTAGTTATTTGGCATATCTTATGATAGTTTGATAATGCAACAAATTTAACAGATTACTTAAATTGCAATATATCTCTTCGATATATCAGATAAAGTACATCCCTAAGAATCGAAAAATGATTTTCTTACCAAGTCTTGGCTTGTTTTTCCATCATGTCCTTTAGAATTAAGTAAATTTTTTTAGTAGTTCTGCATCTGCTTTCGGCCTGATTTTCATGTTATAATTATGCAAGTTAGGTGGAAGGACACTTAGTTTCGGTACACAATATATATCACAGATATGTCATATAAAGTACATCTCTAGAAATCGAAAAATGCTTGGCTTGTTGAGTTGTTGTGTTCCCTTTTAGTCTTTCAGTGAACTTCTTCGTGGAAATTGCGCCGTCTGAGCTGGGGTAAAATCATTTGATGATAAAAGTGGCCCTCAATTGCTTTGTTGCTTGCTGCACGTTGCTGCCGTCGTAGTCTTCTTTCCGCTCGTCTCCTCGTTATTAAATTGAAGCCGGTGAAAAGGCGAAAAACATGCGAGCCGCAAGGATGTGGAAGGACCTGCTGGAGCAGCTGACACAGACACACACAATGGAACCATCCAAAGTAACAATCATAACTCATTATGTTCACTGGTAAATTATAATGTCGAATATATATGGGATTTTGATTCACTTTGCATCATCATCATTGACTGGCAAAGGGTTTACTCGTATGTGAAATGTTATTTTCTTGGCTGCAACACTTTTTTCTTAGAGTTGCCTTTGTTATTTTCCCTTATTATTTATTAAACATTTACCTGTAACCTGTTAACGAAAACGTAGTGAACATTTCAGTTTATATTTATGGACAAATTAGGATTTAAGGAGAATGTATGATTTAAAGATTTTTTTATTTTATATGTTAGGAGAGCAAGCTTAAGTTATTTTTTGCCTCTTCAATTTTTTTATTATATTTACACGTACTGTAAAAACGGGCATTTCTGGAACCAAAAATTGCGCCATCTATCGCTAGGTGAACTTTAAAAACAAAGAGCTTTGGCAAGCTTTTTCGAGTTCCCACAAAAATCCAAAGACATTTGACAAAATATTTCTTTCTTATTTAAAATATAAAAATAAATTGAAGTATGTAAAAAATTACCATCGGTGATGTATTAATCTGTCTGCGGTTTTTTTTTTTGTCATAAATAAACTTTAATCTGAAACGTTTCTGTGGTTTTTTGATTTAAATAAATAGTAAACAACTCAATGCTATAAAGCCTTGTCCCAAATTTAATTTTAATCTAATAAATAACACAAAATTTAAGCGCAAAGAAAAAAATAACCTTTATTTATAAAAATATATACCCTTTTTCTGTACATAAATCCGGCAAATTCCGATTTTATCTCACTATCTGAATCTTTAATAAAAAAGATCATTGAATATCAACTCACAGAAAAAAAAATAATAATATAATGATTAAAAAACTCTAATACCTTAGCAATATTTATCATTATTTCATGATTTTTTATTGCTATTTCATTTGAAGCCAAATTTACAGACTTAATGAAAATTACATTTGACCCTGACGACACAATTCAAAGCCGTGTTGCAATTTTTTATGTTGTGACACTTTCGAAAACACGAATTCTGCTTACACTTACAATCTTTGATTCTGCAATTAATATGTGTCAGATTTCCACTGCCGAAACAAGAGATTAAATTATGCGTTTAGGTATTATATTCTGATGTATTTAGTTTATTTAATTAACGTCCAAGTGGCAAACAAGCGCAATTCAAGCAACGGTTAAATCATTAGGTGATAATATCTGATAAAACAAAAACAATAAAGTTCAAACAGAAAAGATTCGGTTATGGCGACTATCCCATGGGCTGCATAAATGTTATGCCTGACTGATTTTTAATTGACCCGGAATCCGTAGTGTTTATATATCCATTACGTATTTCTTTGGTTGCCAAGTGCAGCCGACTGGGACGCGATGGTCAGCTTAAGCAGTTGCCTTCTCTAAAATCTAAAGTTATTATTATTTTTTTTAGTTTTTAATTAGGCAGCAACAAATTGCTTCATGCAGTTGTGTGCGCCTCGAAAGGTCGTTGCGATTGGCCAACCGCTCGAGTTTTTGTGCGACTCCAAGTGAAGTCCAACTCAACGCCGAAGCGTCGTCTCTAAGGCCGTAACGATTAATCACCTACAGTGAGACCTGGATATATTAAAGCCAGTATATTGGGAAATTATACAGAAAAATTTATAATCAAATTTATAAGACATCTCCATTATCTCAAATCTTATATAAATCATGCTTGGGAAGGAGACTTTATTGACAGTTTTAGATTTTGTACATTTTTGTTTGGGCTCTGTCTTCAATAACTTAAACTTTTAGGATTTTAGATCGTAAACGAAAAACAACTTGATTTTAAATTTCATTTTTTTTTTTTTTGATATGGTTTTAAATTAAGCTCTTACCTGTATATCCCTCACACAGAGGCTCTGCTGTGACCGTCTGGGACCACCGAAATGACTCAAATGTCGCGTGCTGCCTGCGTGTGTGAGCGAGTGAGGGAGAGGACAATCGCCTTTGGGCCGCCACCGAGCCGCTCACTAACAAGTGGCCTCCGGCGAAGCGGCGATTCAGGCGCAAGTTTAGTTTTTGATTCAGTTTCAGGCGGTTCACAGTCGCCGAGTCCAGCAAAACGCTGTTTTTAATTTTCGTAATTTGTATTTAGCTGCCTGAATTATTTAGCAAACTGTCGTGTGGGACACAAGCTTAAATTCGCGTGTGAAAATTTCTCCATCGTACAGTGTTTTTTTCCATGGTCTATTGGCATCTGTTGAGTTTTCAAGTGCACCTGTTCTTTAAATTTTCGGTGGCTTATTAAATTGAGAAAATCAAAATCCAAAATGGGTAATTCCAGCTCAATTTGCACCGATCGCAATGCCATAAGGAATTACGATGAAAATGGGTAAGGAAGAGACAAACCAAAAGGCACAGGCAAACAGAGCAATAAATTGGGCAATGCGAGAGAAGGTTTAAAAGTTCTGAAAACTTTTTAACAGCTCAAATTTTAATATTGAAAAATATAATAGATCCTTTCGGGTTACCTATTTATTATATACTATTTTTTCACATTTTAAAGTAATTTATAAATTAGTATTTATACAATATGATTAAAAATGATGAAAAAAAAACTTTCAAAAACAATTAAATAATATATTTCTTTAATATTCTATTTTGTGTAAAATAATACATATTCTTGGACTTCAAGTTATTTTCCATTATAGCATAATTATTAATTCCTTGTTTCTACTAGTAAATACACTTTTTGTATTCATTTAATTTAAAAAAAATAAATGTATAAAAAATATGCCTTGAAAAAATACAAATTGTTTGTTAATAAAATATTGTTATTATACTCTAACAACATTGTCATACATTTATTTAATGTATAAGTGAAGCCCCTTTAAACTACAAATCAAACTAGAAATTAAACTAAAACTAAACAAAAGGAACTCTAAAACAAAAAAATCCTCTCCAAATTCCCACACTCTGCGCGTGTGTAATTCCTCCATTAACAGCATTAGAATCTTCCCAAACTTGTTGGTAATACCTGCAATTACCTGGCTTTTCTAGACCGCACACCCAGCGCAATTCCAACTCCCACGACCACGCCCCCGTCATAAATCTAGCTCTTCAGGTGTCATTAGTGTTTAACGATGCGATTTACTAGTGTTTTATCAGCAATTTACAAGCAACTCATCGAAACGCGTTCAAAAAACTAATTCTTGGCACACGACACACCGCCCATCGATAGCTTCAGTACACATTTTACCTGTAATTTTTTAAGTAAAACTGGAAAGAAAAAAAAAAAAAAAAACAAACCGCAGGTGTGTTTTTCTGATAAAAGTCCTTGTAAAAAAAACTGAACTCGAAATTAAGCACATCTGAAGTAAATTGTTAATATTTATGAAGGTTACTCGGACACTCGGATATGTGTTATATTCCAATTTATTGGCTTGTCGTGTTTTACTTTCAATTTTTGTGTAATAATTGAACGTATTTATATTATGTGTGCTTGTATGTACAAGACTTTGGAGCAAATGCGATGCGGACCCACAGGGCGTATGATTGTCTCAAGTGCAAGGCAAGTCGGTCCGGGACAGGTTAAGGTTAAGGTTTTTATTTCAGTCGTCTCGTAATTAGGTTTCTGTCTTTGGACAACTCTGCCTTAGCCTTAAATAATGTATAGCAGTATAAATGAGGTATGAGTACTAGATATAAATTGGACAGGCGTATATAATACCCTTCCAAAGCACAGAAAATGTTGACTTAAATACGATTCTTTATACAATTAAAGCGTTAATTTATATAGACCAATTAATTAGATAATTTAAATAATATAATTAAAAGAAATTTTAAAGAAATATAATTCCATCTACAAATGGTCAATTCAATTTATTTGTCATGCCTGTTTAATTTACTCGTATTTCCAAAATTTTTATATTATTTTATATAGATTTGATTATATTCTTTATTAAAGAAATAGTTTTTATATACTTTATACTTGTACCTTATAAAATTACAATTTTATTGCCATATAAACATAGCATTTAACAAACTCTCCTTAAATTAAAGTAAAAAAAAATATTGATAGTAATTCAATGTTAATTTGTCCTACTATTTTGACCTCTACTGTTCTCCCTGAATATTTTTTCTCATGCTTTTCACGCCTAAGCGTAATGTTTTCTTCGTCCCAGACAAATGATTATACTCGTCATTATTGTTGTTATTATACGACAAGAGTGGGGCTATATAGCATAAGTGTTTGTGCCGCCTTATCAGTCAGCTGCTTTACCCCCACCCTCCCCATGATCGATCCGACTAATCAGAGAAAGAGAGAGGGAGAGAACGATTGCGGAAAACTAACAAACAAAATAGCAAAAGTGTAAAATGTAAAAGAGAAAACAGACTGGGCGACAGAACAAATCGAATTTTGCAGCTCAGTTTAGCGCGAATGGTGCAAGGCAGCAGACAAAAATCAGGAATCACATCAGGAATATATATAGTATAGGACACTAGCAGCATCCCAAGTGCCCCACCATGTATTCGGTTCTCCGGCACTGTTCCGGCATCAGAAAAACCTTTGGACGGCTGTGAGTGATTAAGTAAAAAAAAAGTAATTCATAATTATAATATGGCTATATACTATGGTAGTATCGCCTGAGTGCACTCGGATTATGGAACATACATAAGTGGGTGTGTTTTTGTAGATCGGAGCTTATCAGTGGCACTTTGTCACCGCTTATCGCTCTCCACCTCGAAGGCCTGCCTGTCTGTCAGAGAATCACCTGTTCATTGGGTTCAATGGAGCTGAAAAGTATTGCATTCAGTATATGCGGGATATATGTACATATATGCAAGTCAAGGGCCTTTAAAAGTTAGCTAAGGGCACCGGAACCATGAATACACTTCCTGAATTATATGGCAAAGTTTTACAAAACAAACATTTTATGCTATAATATAGGGGTTTTCAGAAACTTGAAAAATATGCGGAAATGAGGATTGCAACGAATGTAAAATCGTTTTGAAAACTGTACGAAAGTATGCAATGATATATTTAAGATTCCATAATAATACAATAATAATAAGTTTTGAATGGATTTGGACACATTTTACATTGGATTCAAACTCTCAATCTACATTCTTTACAAATAAACATCACGATCAGCGTGCCTAAAAGTATGCAATATTATTATTATTTTTTTAACAATAAAAAATATAAATAATTATAATACATTCTACAAATTCAGTATAAAATCCAGTTACTTTATTTTAATAATACCTACAAAAATAACAAAAAAATAAATATTAATGCTTGAATCAGATTGAGTAAAAAATCAATATTCCTTATATGTACAGACTCTTGGAAGCTTTCACAGCTTGTAATGCTTGTAACTCTTCGAGAAAGAGTATCAAAGAAGTCGCTAACAAGGTTGCCAATGCTGTTATTGTCACTCCCGCATTGACATTCATTCACACGCTATGCGCTCAGAGCTTTAATTGAATTACAGAGAACATATCTCGCATTCCGTTATTGTCTCCCTCTCTGTGTGCTCTCCCAAGAATCACCCACCAACCCCCAGCCTCATTCTCTCCGCCTCACCTCTCTTTCACACACACACACACACATTAGTCACTTACCCCGTGTCTTGTGTTCTCTCCATCTCTCGCCCTTAGCACGCCGGTATACCCTACTGCCAACAATTCCCAGAGTCCTTCGAATGGCCAAATAACACCATACCACCACCTCCACCACCAACATGCACATAGCCAGGAGAAGGAGAGCGGCGGCTACTACAAGACCACAATTCCCGTCGGCAGCTCTCAGAGCGGCAGCGATGCCACAGCCGGAGAGAGCAACAGTTGCGCTCAGTGCCAAACAGCTGATGTGTCGCGCTCCTCTCCCACGAACAACAATCACGCACACACCCATAGCTGCTGTTGTACTAGTAGTCGTGTGTGCTCCAATCATACGACTACAACCACAACGACACTCGAATACGAACTTTCCAATTTCGCAAAACTAACGACACGAATCACAACGAAAAGCGCCGCCGAAGGGGCAGCATTAACGGAGCAGCGTGACATAGCCACCGATATAGTCAGCACACCCGACTTGCCACAGGCAGCAGGACTACCGTTATCCTCGCGACATCACTGGAATCAGCTGCAGCGCAGTTTGCACTCTCTCCACCAAGAACAACAACGTGCTTACAGCTCCTCTTCCTGCTCCGACAACAACAAAAATAATAATAATAACGTAGCCGACATGAGTGCGAACAAGCAGGTGAATTTGGAAAAATACGCGCCACGCGATCGCCTGGGAGTCTGGGGCACTGGCGACAACGAAGTCGTTGGCAGCATCTCTGGATTCGATCGCCTCTTCGACAAGCGATACTCAAAGGTGAGTTCTATCTAGTTCCTTCCCATTCGCTTTTATTCTCTGTCTCGCGACGCTTAAAGTATAGTGGAAAAGTACCAGGCAAAGGTTTTTAGGGTGGGTTTTTATGGTTATTTTCGTGACTGTGCTACGGGGAAGTCTTCCAGGGGGATTAGAATAAAATATTCCATTAAATATTAAGCAAATTATTAGATCATTATTTAGTAGTTCTATGTGTTCTGTAATATTTTATTAGGATTTACCAGTATTAGTATTTTTAAATCTTTATTTTGTAAGGGTCAAAAAGTTTTTATATTTTTGTAGGCCACTTTCTATTTTTAAATCCACCGCATAAAAATTCCAATTCATAAATACATAAATAACTATTAAGCGGAAACGTCAGCTGGTGATTGCCAGCTAAAAAAAAGACAAGAGACTTTTTGGCAGTGGCTTCATTTTCGGCAAGTGGTGTGGGTGACCTTTAGATGACATAGAGCGCGAAAGGGATAGCAACAACCGTCCAGTTTGTACAAAAAAAAAATATATATCAAATAATACACGCGCCACACTGGAAGACCAAAGCTCACAAACATTTTTTTCTTTGCTTCTGGCTTTTTCAGTTCATTATTTTTATGGTTGCTGTCAAAAATCGATAGCAAACTTTTATAATTGAGTCAATTGACGGGATGTCAAATAGCAAAAGTAGGGCATCAGGCGGCTATCGTGAAATACGCTCCCAGAATTTATAGTATAAAAGTAGATATCTCAAATTGCATTTTCAAGTTCAATGCTGTTTTTGCGATTTGTTTTGTTTTGTTTTGCATGCAAGCGTTTTTCCGCTATTTTCACACAGAAGCATGGGAGCGCTAATGCACGAATTGCTGCTGAAAATATTGGAGAGCACTTCAAAGAGACACCGCGCATGGGCTTTACGTATTTTTCGCCTTTTTTATTTTGGTTTTTGAAGCACAGAGAAAAATACATAAAATTAGGGAAATTTTTCAAAATTCTTGTAAGACCTTAAACCTTTAAACTTATTAGTATGATTTATTAAGATACAGTTAAAAAGTTTCAAAGTGTAAATTGGATCTAAAACACATTAAAACATGGTTAGATTATACTTCAGAGATGGGAATAACTTCTTGCCCTCGAATACTTTGATAAAAAATATATTTTTAATATGTTAAAAATATAAATATCCCATTGTCAAAAGGAAAACCCTTTTAATATACAATTTAATTAACCAAAAAGGCATTACTATTTTTCCCCATGTTTGCCACTTGAAACACAAGCTAAAGAGGGGATTTATCTTGCCATGTAAACAGAAGCCAGTTAAGAATAATGGAGTGGGCCTCTCCACAAAAAAGTTTCCCTGATAAATAGCAATGATAATAAAGTTTTTTCCCCTCTTACGTCAGACCCCAATGTCATGGACTTTTTGGCAGGCTGAAAAATTAATAATTTAAGCAGAAATTATCTTAACAAGTTCTGTTATCAAAAGCGACAGCCTATTGTGTTCTACAGTTTGTTATTATTTCTGACACGCTCCGCTCAAGTGACAATTGCTTATCGAAACCTCCTTCGCCGAACAGCTGATTTTGTTTTCATTTCTTTATACAGAATTTCTTGTGGAAAGTTTTCAAGTTCTTATCGCTTCAAAAGAAATAAAGAAAAGCAGTACAGGGTAAAAATGAGACAACCGCAAAACCAGCGAAAACTGACCTACATCAAGTCATAAATTTAACTTTGTTTCGAAGAGCGAAATGATGATAATCCGCAATGCTTTTGGTATCAGACATAATAATACATATATTTTTGGAATATCTCTGAGTTTGTTCACACCAGAAACTGTTGGCGCATTTGCATTTCTACGCTTTTGTTTGTCTCTTTTGTTTTATTCGCTCTTTTTGCCACTGTTTGTATTGTTATTTATCGCTATGCCAGGGAAATTAAAAATTTAAACAAATTCAAACGTTCAATGTGCTGAAAGAGCAAAGAGTTTGCAGCTTGTTGAAATAGTTGGATTATTCCAATGTTTACCCAATGATTTGTTTAGTATTGGTTGTTTATATTTTCTCGATGGGAGGAAAATATCTAGTACTCTTTAACGGGTAAAGATAATGTAAATGATTATATTAATTAATTTTTAGGGAGCCTTGATAGCAGTTTTATTTATTTCAGTTTTATACATTTATTTTTACCCAATTTGTTTGCTTAAATATTCCACTGTGACTCATCTTTTACTTCCGGCTGAGCGACAAGCTCCTCTCAGAGCTCTCTGAGTTTCTGGGACATCCACATCCCCCCATCATTATTCCGCATCGCCTGACCCACAAAAGCTTAAAGGTTGGTAAGGTAAATACCTTTCCATTGGCAGAGGAAACACTTTGTTTGAAATTGCCTGTTATGTCTGTCTGCCACCTCGACTCATGCTGATTAAAAAGCTACGCTTTCGTCATCTGAAATGTATTCAAAGTTCGCCGCTAGACGGCACGGCCAGTGATAATGATTCAGGTGATCATGATCGTGATCGTGAATAATGATGATGATGATGATCGAACCTGGTCGCGCCAGACAGCGCAAAAAAAATATCAGCTGAGCGCCAGCGTTTTGTATTTTTAATTCGAATTGTTTTTGCCCCGAATTTTGGTTGATTTTGGCAAGTTTTTTTGCGATTTCATTTGAAATGCGTATGCGTAATCTCCGAATGGCATATTACGTATACGCATGGGTTTGAAATTCGATATAAAGCTGGGGGTAAAATAATTACATTTGGGTAATATTTCAAATTGATTAACTGTCCGTTTTGATTATTTAATTTACCTATATAACATTTTGGAGACTTTTGATTAATATTAAAAATAACTAAAGAATTAAATGTATCTTTACCACCCTACCCTGATTAGGTACATTTACACTGGCAAACCCCTTTACTTTCTATGTTTATTACGTTCAAGAACAAGTCTTTAATTGATTGTACATATATCTCGAATGTTTGAAGCAGCTGATGCAGGTTATGAATATATAGTACTATACATTTATGGATCGGGGAACGGGGAACACTTGTTGCCAGGCGGCTTGTAAAAACTTTCGCACGCTTATCGCCGGGCGTGCGTCGCTTTCAATGTCAACGGTGTCGTTCCCTCGATTTTATTTGCTTTTTTTGTCGTATTTCACCAGCGATGACGTAGCTGCACGATAATGGTTAATTTCGAGCCTCTTCCAGCAGTAAATTATTGTTTATGGGGATCACTCGAGTGTTTTATTGTTTGAACTACAAGCCACTGAACAAACTTAATTTAATCCAAACGAATAAATTGATTTAAGCCTTTATTAGATTAAATTTTTGGTTTATTTAAAGCATCATATTTTAGCACATTTATATATTACGGGTTTAGCAATAGTGTGTTAATTTTACATTAAAATTTATGCATGTATAAATAGAGAAACTTTTTGACATGCCTCCAGAAAATCAATAAAAATTTGTGGCTTGCAAAGTTTTAAAGATAAAGCCCCCATTATAATTACATCTCATCATGAGTAAGCATAAATTATAAAATCCACGTCATTTATCTTGGGAATTTTATGACTAGCGATGACTCTTTTGTTTACAAGATAAAATTACCAACTTCCAGTAAATTAAGTTGAGAGAAACGTTGAAAAAATAGTACACATAATACGTTTATAAACCAATAAATGCTTAAGACATATAAAGATATTGCGTGACTACGAAAATTTAAATTAAATTATTATTGAAATCGACTATCAAAGTGATTGATGGCCTCCGAAATATAATTTTGAATAATTAGGGAAATTTACACAAATTAAATTTAAATTTAACGTAAACTTAGATTGCCTTGAGCGCAGCCAGATCCATTATACAAATTAAAAAATTTGAGAAATTAAAATGTATTTTTAAACAAAACCCATTATAATTAAATCTTACAAAAATTCCAATATTTAAAACCTATTTACAAAGCACATAAGTTTGCATTTCAAACAGCCTTTGTGTGGTCACGAATAAAAAGAAAAGCACTTGGCATTTAAAGCTTTAGTAATTATTCCCTAATGTGCATATTAGCAGGTACATCCGCAACTCAAGTCCCCCATAATCCAATGTAATCTGTTTGTATATGACACCTTGCACGTAAGTTTTTATCTATCTATGTGACCTAGTCCAAACTTCCAGCAACGCCCCCAAGCGTAATATCAGCTTATGTTGTCTATTTCAAAATGAATATAATAGTCTAATAACCATAGCAATTACGTGGCGAAAAACTTTCAAAAAACTAAACATCATTGTGCGTGTGAAACGAGGCCGGAGCTGAGTCACTTCCCTCTCAAATATTGTATAGAATGGCGACTTTATGTTCCAGTTCTCTAACTTGACTTTGAACTTGAAACCCGACTGATGTGAGAGATCTTCGCAGATCTGTGAAGGTCGGGTGATCCAGGCGACTTGTCTAGGTGATACTGCGACGCGTGCTCAGGTCAAGGGGTCATCATTGATAAGGGGGAAACAAACTTTCCACCGTTCGGGTTCCACTTTTGTTTTGTTTGAAAGGTTTCATAATCATAGCTCAGTGGACCGATCAGGCCACTCAAATCTAGCGATTACAAACATCTTCGATAGCAAATAATAACCCAACAAATTATTTCCCTTTCAGGGTCTGGCCTTCTCCCACGAGGAACGTCAACAGCTGGGCATCCATGGCCTGCTGCCATACGTGGTTCGCGATGAGAGCGACCAGGTGGCCCACTGTCGCACCCTGCTGGATCGTCTGGATCAAAGTCTGGACAAGTACATGTACCTGATCGGTTTGTCCGAGCGCAATGAGCGGCTGTTCTATAAGGTTTTGGCCTCCGATATCGGTCACATGATGCCTCTGGTGTACACGCCCACCGTGGGATTGGCCTGCCAGCGCTATAGCCTGATCTATATGAACCAGAAGGGCATGTTCATCTCGATCAAGGACAAGGGACACATCTACGATGTGCTGAAGAACTGGCCGGAATCGGATGTTCGTGCAATTGTGGTGACGGACGGTGAACGGATTTTGGGACTGGGAGATCTGGGTGCCAATGGCATGGGCATTCCCGTCGGCAAATTGTCGCTGTACACAGCTCTGGCCGGCATTAAGCCGTCGCAGTGCCTGCCCATTACTCTGGACGTTGGCACCAATACCGAATCCATTCTGGCGGATCCCCTGTATATCGGATTGCGCGAGAAGCGTACCACTGGTCAAGTCTATGACGAATTCATCGATGAATTTATGCACGCCTGCGTCCGTCGCTTTGGCCAGAACTGTCTGATCCAGTTCGAGGACTTTGCCAATGCCAACGCATTCCGCCTGCTGGCCAAGTACCGGGAATCGTTCTGCACCTTCAACGACGACATCCAGGGAACCGCTTCGGTGGCCGTGGCTGGTCTGTTGGCCTCGCTGAAGATCAAGAAGACCCAGCTGAGGGACAATGTCCTGCTGTTCCTGGGCGCCGGAGAGGCTGCTCTGGGTATTGCCAATCTCTGCTTGATGGCCATGAGGCTCGAGGGTCTTACCGATGAGGAGGCCAAGGCACGCATCTGGATGGTGGACAGGTAAGTGGGCTAAACCTGTCATATCTTTTAACGATACTAATGTATTTTTCTGTTATAGCCGTGGTTTGATCATCCGCGACCGCCCAAAGGGAGGACTCACCGAGCACAAGCTTCACTTCGCCCAGGTCCACGAGCCGATCGATACTCTGTCGGAGGCGGTGCGCAAGGTGCGTCCCAATGTGCTGATTGGTGCTGCTGCTCAAGGTGGTGCCTTCACCCAGGAGATTCTCGAGCTGATGGCCGAGATCAACCAGACGCCGATCATCTTTGCGCTGTCCAACCCGACCATCAAGGCCGAGTGCACCGCCGAGGAGGCGTACACCCACACCAAGGGTCGTTGCATCTTCGCCAGCGGTTCGCCCTTCGAACCCGTGACGTACAACGGACAGAAGTTCTATCCGGGTCAGGGTAATAACTCATATATTTTCCCTGGAGTGGCATTGGGAGTCCTATGCGCCGGCATGCTGACGATTCCCGAGCAGGTCTTCCTGGTGGCCGCAGAACGCTTGGCGGAGCTGGTCTCCAAGGAGGACTTGAATAAGGGTAGCCTGTATCCACCCCTTGCCAATATTGTCAAATGCTCAGTGGCGATTGCCGAGGCGATTGTGGACTATGCGTATAAGAACGGTTTGGCCACCATCCGTCCTGAGCCGGCCAACAAGCTGTCCTTCATTAAGGCCCAGATGTACGATATTGACTATCCGCGTTCTGTGCCCGCCACCTATAAGATGTAGAATGGAAATGCATTCCGCCTGCCCCCCAAAAAAAACCTAATGGAGTGGCCTCCGCAGATATTCGGCACTGGCAGCGAGCAGTAACCATGTTATTTATTTTATAATGTCGCACATCTGTAGTCTAGCGTATAGTTAGCAGCGCGCCTAACCTATCCCACTTAACCACTATCCACCAACCACTAGCCCCTGTTCGCAGTCGCAGTCCAAGAGATCATTAATGAGAGGGATGTGATGAGGGATGAGAATGTCACCAGCTGCAGCGAACCCTTCTTTTTTATGATGTTGACTCTATGTAAATGGGATATTGATCTAATAGATATGTAAACAAATTCTATGTAATCTTGAACAACACAAACTACTCTAAGTAATAAAAATATAAAAAATATAGCCTTGAGTTCTTTTGGGAATGACATGGGGTTTTTTTCCTTAAGTTTTCTACTTCTTGAATGTTTTAAAGATGTAAATTATTATAATATGGATATCATAAAACCAAAATAAATATTATATTTTTTTATTCCTGTTTCTATTAGATCAACCGTATAAATTTGTTTATTTTGTATTCTTTTTTCTTATTTACTAAAAGGTTTTTTTATGTTTGTATTATTAATGAAATTAGCCAGATGTACAGCACTAAGTTGTATAAAAGCTTAAAGAATTAGTTTGAAAAATCGATAATTTAACTTTTCTAAGCGCCTATTCATCATAAAAGAGATGGTAAATTAGCCAAAGGTATCAAAAGCTATTATTTACCATTGCTTTTGTTTAATGATATAGTTTAGTTTCATTTTTGCTTCTTTGTTAATCTTATAAACTTTAAAATTCAATTGTTAAATACAAATACAAACTACATTTAATTTTTTAAAACTAAATTGTAATTTTCTCCAAAAAACTAAATATTAAATTTTATTACCCAACATTCAATTTGTGAAAATATGTACCAGTGGAAAAGGACTATGAGCCTTCAATAGAATATTGCAAATAATTTAAATATAACGACACTTTCCAAAGCTTTCGATAATTTTTACTGATAGATATCGATTTTGTCACAGCTCTATGGAATGCCCTTAATGCGATAACTGCTACCTGAAGACTTATCGATAGCCCTATCGGCTCGCACATTTTTGTGGAAAAATGCAAGGAAAGCAAAACTAAAAACAAAACAGGGAAAAATGCAAGGGCTCAAGGTTCGTGGGATTTACTGATTTAATAATATATTGCTAACGGTTATTTTATTTACAGCAACGTTTTGAGCTGCGACAATTGGGGGACGACCTAAAGCAGAAGCAGGTGAGTGCCGTGCCGAAAAACAAGTGCTATAAATAAATTACTCACCTTGATTAATGTGCATAACACGAAACAGGTAATCCAGGACAGACTGCTGCAAAAGATCCTCTACTCCAAGCGACTGCTGGTGGATCATGTGGAGGCGCTGGAGCAGTGCATTCAGGAGTTGCAGGCGGCGGCTAATCCTAGCCGGCAATTGCTGACCACAACGAATGCCTGCTTCATACTGGGCACCACTGTGATTGAGCATCTGATAACTCCACGAAGTGTCCGATACACGATGATACCCTCAATCCTGGTCAGTGGCACCTTTGCCGCTCTATGCGCTGTGAAAAGCGTCTTTGTTTGCCGCAACAAAATCGTTGAGCGCAAGCTGGAGCAGCTGGTGAAGACCATCGATGAGTTCGGAAACTGCATTCGCCGGAACATGACGTACTTTCAGGAGATTATAATCATGAAGCAGGCGGAGTTGATAGAGTAAGCTGAAGCAAATGATGCTTAGCACCTAGCTAATACCTTTCTTCCTGCAGATCCCGACAGATTGAACGCGCCTGGGATTGCATAACAGCCGCAAAGGAGGTAACAGAGATCCTGTACGATGCCACACGTAAGATGGAGACGGACTATCCCCTGCCGGCGAAGTATGGAGCTTATTATGCAGCCATGGAGGAGCTTCGAGAGTGCGAGTACTTCAAGAATAATGTCACGGACTACAGTCCCAAGCACATAAAGGTTAGCGCATATTTAGGAACAGAGTCAAGATAAAAACTAATCTATTTTTTTTTATTTAATTTTTAGGACTTTCACAACATCTTCGCCTATGTGCAATCGCAATATCTTTTACGTCTGGCCCTTACCATCACAACGCGTCCTTCGATCTCGCAGCTGAGCGAGGATCTCGTAAAGATCGACTGCCAGGTACGGCAGCTGGTGCAGGAGGAAGAGCAGCACTTTAGCAATCTGGCCATGGCCATGCAGAACAGAAAGCAATTGGAGTTGGCCGAACTCAATGTCACTAAGGCTGAGCAGCAGCGGAGTGGACCCATTGCCGTACTGCAGCATTCCTCATTGAAGCTCAGCGCCTGCATGGTGGCCGTGGCCGGTGAGTGCCAGGCTCTGGATATAACCCTCCAGCAGCTGACGGCCACGGAAGCGGCGAACAGAAACAACTCAAAGGAACTGGTGGCTGTGGCCAGCAATATGCGTGGTATTGAGAACGCTCTGGCGGTGTGCTGTGACGACTTCCAGCGTCTAATGCTGGTGTACAACAAGTTTCTGCATAGTAAACTGGACTTGGAGGGAGAATTGACGCCAAGGCCCAAAGAGGACTTAGGCGAGGAATTCCCCGAAAGCATACTCAGGGTGGAGTACTCGCAAAATGTTGATGCACCGCAGCAAAAGGATGATTTCTATGCCTACATGTATGATGAGAATGAAGAACTGGAACAGTTTGAGGCAGAGCAGCATGCGCCCTTCCCAACGCCCGAAAAGGAGCTCCTCAACTTCGAGAAGCGCATCACAAAGGGAAAGTTTAAGCCTGTCCTGAAACAACTCAAGGATCGCATCGATCCCATTCGCCAGGTGATGCTGGAGAAGGAGCGCGAAGTCCTCGCCTCCAAGGGCATTAATGTCGATGAGCTCTTTGGCAAGATTGAACAAATTGAGGAGCAACAACAGCAGCAGCAGGACGACAATCGACTGGCAGATACAACATCATCGCCCACCTACGACTCATCCTCCAACTCGGACTCGGACTCAGCCGACGAAGTGGCCTTCAAGCGACGCAGTAAGCAGCACAAGGAGCGTGATAACTTTGCCGAGATGCGGCAGTTTCTGGCCCAGAAACAGGCCATTAATCTCTTCAAGCTCCCGCCGCCACCAGCTCTAGCTGCCGCTGCTGAGGAGGAGTTGCTTGAAAGTGAATGCTAGTCCATTTGGCTATTCTTTCAGTTGGTCACATGCCTATGTACTATCTCCCTTGTTCTGGGTATTATCTGTTTAAGCATATATCGTTTATCTAGCCACCTGGGCACCGATAAGCTCCGCGCGCAAAGCGACGCTCCCACTCCAATGCCCCGAACCCCAAAACCACATCCTGCCTTTTTGGTTGTTCCTGTGTTTGTGTTTCCTAGCCTTCTTACTTTTAACTCGTTGCAAACTAATAAAAACAAGTTTTTTATGTAGACAAATTTAAGCACCTGGATGATTTGTAGAAGGATTAACCTTTCATATCAAGTGGCATATATCAACCTCGACCTATTAAGCGGTTTTGTGTCGGACTCTATTTAGATTTTAAAAGTAGTTTTCCCTTTTATATTTACTCTCAGGTGAACCGGAGATCACTTTTTCTTGTTACGCTCTTTGAATATTTTTAGAGGAGATTTTAAAAACAAATCATGTGTATTGGCCGACGCTTATAAAAATTATTTAAATAAATAAATAAAAATCACTCATTTATAACGACATTAAATACAAACTTGTTATTTTATCGTTTTTATTTATTACAAACTAATATGCTCGAAACTTAAGTACAATACGCAAACATCGATGGCATCATTAAATACTAGGGGGTTAGGTTTTTTCGGGGTTTAGGAATTGTGTGGGAGGAGTATCAACTCCTTTAAGGTGACAACTACATATATACAGTGATAGCTCGCACAGAAAGTCTTTTTTTTCGGTTGGGATTTGCTTACAAGTGGCTGGAACACTTTCGTGGACACATCTTTGGCTCGAAACTTGTGCTGCTAACTCGGAACTGGAACTGGGAGTCCGGCTAGAATCCCTATCAGGCATTGGCAGCTCCTGTCGTGGCACCATTACTGGCACCGGCATGGGCATTATTAAATTTGCTGGCCACCGAGGCGGGTTGCAAATTCGAAAACTGTGATAAATTGCTGCCACGTACGCTGGTGTAGCGGATGGGTTGCACTCCATAATCGCTGCCCTTGAGCCGCCGGCGCACGCAGACGACAATGAATCCAATGACCAGACCGATCACCAGCACCACACTGGCAATGATGGCAGTGAGTATTATGTATCGACGGCGAAGGAATCGCGGTGGCTCCTCATCTACCGCACGGTATTTCTTGGGTATCACCATGTTGCAGATGTGCTCGGCCGTGAGGTTGGAGAGTGGAGCTCCAGCCAGAATATAGGGGGTGTCGCAACGGGCCTCCGTTCCATCCGCTTCCTGTTCGATGTGCGAGAGACCGGACAGCTCCAGAGCCTTGAAGAGTTCGCAGCTGCAGTACCAGGGATTGCCGGATATGCTCAAACGGCGCAGACGTGGCCAGGGTTCTTGGATTCCCTTGTGGCTCGCTGTACTGTTGTTACTGGCTGAGATACTGTTGTTACTTTCCTTGAGAACCAAAGTGGTCAAAGCATTCCGAGACAAATCCAACTGCGACAAATTACGACTGCTTAGCAAGTCAGACAGTTCTAGGTTTTCCAATTTGGGATTCCTGGAGCAGTCCAGCTGTTCCACGGCTGGCAATATCAAAGCTCCCTTTTCTACGCTTCGCAATGCAGGCAAGCTGCTGATGTTGAGACGTTTTAGGGCCACTAATCCTTGAAAACTGTTCTCCTTTAAGCTGGGAAACGGATTGCCCGCCAGATTCAAATGGACCAGAGACTTGCCCAGTTGCTGAAGACTCGCAGGAACCACGGTAAACTCGTTGCCGGAGACTTCAAGGATACGCAGGCTGCGTAGCTTTGGGAATAGCTCCGCAGGCAGGGACATCAAACCATTGTGGGAGAGATCCAAGCGCTGTAATGTGGTCACCGATGCAACTGCGGCTGTCGTGGCTGCATCCAGAACACTCAGCTTATTGTAGGCCAGGTTCAACTTGGTCAAGTGCGGAGTATGTTCAAAGAGAAGACGTTCCAGCCGAGCTATCCTATTGTGGCTCAAGTCCAGATCCTTCAAGCCAATAGGCTCATAGTTAGTATTGTTCCAGGGACCCCTAAAGAGTCCCGGGTTCAGAACATTGTCGGTCAATTCGTTCCAACTGAGGTACAGCGCCTGCACATTGGGCGAATCCATAAAGAGGGGAGCCTGCAGATCCTGCAGTCCACAATGCCGACAGGAGAGCGTTAGGCTGGCATTTGTGGCCGGCAGTTGTTGGAGCAACTTGATCCGATTGCCCGAATAGGACACAACGATCTCTGTCGATGCTCCACCAGCCAAAGCCTGGCTGCCAAACTCTTCCGGCCAGCGGGCGAGAATGTGCTCGAAGTTTCTCACCGAACAGTCCAGGTTGAAGTGCATCCGGTGGTCACTGTCCTGGCTACTCAGGCACATGCATGTCTGGCAGATATTGGCCACCGGCTGGTAGGGAATATCTTCATGCTGACTGTGAACGCCAGTAGTTAGAAGTGACATTCCGGCAAGGAGCTGTAGGTAATAAAAAAAATACATTTATTAATGTTTGAAAGATAGGGAAATTCATTTTAATTGCATTAACTTAAATACAAATTAGTAAAAGGGAATAAAGATAATAATAGTTTAAAGTAATAAATAAAGATGATTTCTAATCATTTAATTAATCTTGTTTTTCTATAAAGAGTTTAAAATAAAATTTTAAAAAACTTAACAATTCATTGTTTAAACTAATAGGAATTAAAAGAGCATAATGGTGGTTGTTTTGTTTTTTTTTTTAATTATTATTAGGAAATCCGGAGTCAATTTCTGATTACAATCTAAATACATATATTTATTATCTGAAAGAGGGCATTAATTCCTGATTACACTGCAAGGTTATTGCCATTTTTTTGGGGGTTGTGTACTTATTTGGGTTATTTTTGGTAGTAAAACGAATAAAGGCCAAATATAAACAATAAACCAAAGAGAATGCGCTGACTAAGGCATTATTTCAGGTAAACTTTTCCCGGAAAACCAACCTAAGTAATTCGCACGTTTCTATGGTTTGATGTGTTTTTTATTGCATTGACTTTTCACGGCTAATGTAATATCTGATTACGATTTCGAGCATTTTCCCATATTGCACGATTAACCAGAAGTACAAGTGTTCAGACAGAGACACTAAGATCGGTGACGCCAACCTTGCCTGAAACCTGGGACTTTTGATATCGTGGAGTTATGAGAAGTGTTTCTTTTAAGTATTTTTAACCCTATCAAAATATAATTCAGAGCATATAATATTACGCAGATAAATCTGTCGGATCAGCGTTGTTTATATATTTGTTTTCTGGGCCATGTCCTCTTTTGTTTCTTTCACGATGTCCACTTCGAGGAATACTAAGTCAAGTATCAGGACCTCAAGTTCAGCCATCCAACAGAGACAAAATAAATGCTGGGCTAACCATCGACAGCTCTGTCCACTTTTCTGAATCATTTTAAGGGCTTTTAAATACATTTTATTCTGATAATTTTTGTACAATTTACATTGTGAAGGAAAAGTCAAATGGAGGGAATGCTCTGTTTGAAAATCGAAGATGAGTCATTTTGATTGACTCATAGAGATCGCAGATAACCTATGACATCCTACTGATATTTTTCAGGCACAAATTGCGTGTCCAGAAGGAGGTCACCATAATAAAAAGGTCTCCCCACACTCTTCAGTGGTTCAATATTGAACACACACTTCCCACTGATCCCGGGTCCCCCAGCACTATCTGGGCCCAAAAGTATTAGCGATAAGATAACGATAATGTTTTGGAAAGGCTGAAATATATACTTTTTACTCACCAACAGCAAAAATTTGTACTTCATTGTAGTTGCAGTATTGGTTTCGGTTTCGGTTTCAGTTTTTCTCTGTTCTAACCGCCTCGTGTTCGTTTTGTTAGTAACTTTATATGTATCTTGTGTCGCGTTTCTTTAAAGTGCACTTTGTGTTTGGCTTGGATCGTTTTTATTTTCTTTTATTTTTTATAGTCTTTAACTCGCTTTTCTTTATTATTGTTGTTTTACTTTACTGAGCACTGAGCACTGAGCGGATCATACCGCTTGCTTCGGAAAATGGAACTAAATTAATGAATCAAGCCGCATTGGGCCGTTGGCATTATTTTGTTTTTGATTAGATATCGGCGGACTGAGAAAGAGAGAGCTTCTCTCTATTCGATTCCCATTATTTACTCGCGCGGTCTTTAACTCTCCGGTTCTCCCGTGGACTTTGTTATCAGAGAACGATCTTCGAAGTAAAAGTGAATTCTCTAATTGAGTCATCAAAGTCTGTTTTTCGGTCTCCCTGATCTCTTCTCTGCAAGGTCGTCTATGGGTCTTAACTCACTTTCTTTCTACTCTCGACTTCTTGAACAGAAGCTATTGTACATAACTCTTAAATCAGATAAAACCATATACTATAGATCGTCCCTAAGTGGACTTTTTTAAAACATTTTCTTAGTATATGTTTTAAAGTTCTTGAATAGGGATGTGAAATATATTTTTCTATGATTTATTTTGACAAAAAATATTGGAGAAATATGATAAATGAAAAAAGTACCATATTCAATAAACCAATAAGTCATAAATAGTGTATCTTGTTATGTAATACAATTTGAAGGCCAGTCTTTAAGAACCTATATTGTTATCAGAAAAAAATCATTATAAAATCCTGTTAATTTAGCGATACATTTATATTACACTCTTAAAAGGTCTGTGGCATAGTTTCTGATATATATCGAATAATTTCCCTTATAGAAGTAAGACTGTAATGTGTTTAAGCTAGCAGATGATTGTTTATAGATAAGATAATAATGCTTTGTCTCTCAATGTGGCAACAATTGGCGTTGAAAGCCGAAAGAAAAGTTGACTCAGTCGAGGGGTGCTGCTGATTCTCCCTCTCGAAGACTTTTGATTCACTTGCCAAGGGGAGGATCGGATCCAATTAGATGCGATCGCAATTATTATTGCAAGTGTCACTTGGTTTCATTGAACTTGCCCCTCCTCTCCGCCGGAGAAGGGCGAGAATGGAGAATTGAGCTGTTCGCAGCTGCCGTCGATGAGAAAGGCAAACAAGAGATGTTTTGTGGCCTGGAATTGGTTGCATAAACAAGCGGACAGACGACGAAGGCGACGGACCACAGCCACACCAGACCAGCATTGCCCAGACACTTGTGAGTCACGATTGCGCCGATGTACAGTGGGTACTTGCTTGAGTAGAAAAACTATGAAAAATGCATCAATTTATAAATTTTGGGACTTTAAAAATACTTCCTTTCTCTTTTAAAATTATATTCCAGAGGAAAAGTCTTTCTCAAGTCTTTAAAACCCTGTTAGGGGCGTTTGGAAGGTTGGCATTTATTTATAAAACTTTTTTAAAGCCTTCAAAGAAAGTTGTAAGGAATAAAAATGTTCTCGTATCTTTATCCTTCATCTCCTTAACTAATTTATAACCCATAACATGTATCCACCGTACATAATCCACTGGCAAGAGATTTGATCTCCGTCGCCTCTTCAACAATTGGATTTCTTTCAACAAGCCGCAACAGCCCAGCATGGGGATCCAAGAGTCAGACCATGGAGCGCGGTTTGGGGCTCCTTCATGTGCTTACTAGTCGTTAGTCTGTGTTTAATTTAATGATTAAGGCCTTTTGCATATTCCGTGAACTGCACGCGACCCAACCGCACATGCAACAGACCCCAGCACTGACTGCGAAATGAAACCCGTTTTTATGTGGCTGCGGTTACAGATGATGTGATGTTACTGCTGCTGCTGCGGCGGATGTTACTACTGTTGTTGTTGCACTTTTGCAGCTGCCGCCACAATGATGCTCATCCTCGTCTCGGCGGGGACCACGCGCGAAGTCTGAGACCGAAACCGAAAGCGGAAATTCTTCGAAGAAGCAAGGAACGAACGATGTCTACCTGCCCGCCGCTCGAATCGAACTGAACGAGCGAACACAAACCGAAACTGGATATTTGCTGCTGGATCGAGATTCCCGTTCCCGTTCCCATTCCCATTCCCACAAAATGGACACAGATCTCCCGCCCGTTCCCCCTTGAAGCAAATAAACCGGTCGGGGGCTCACTGGCCGAATTTGAAATCCAAACTGCGGCACATTGTTTATGCCACACAGTGCTTTCTGATGGGGGCAATATTAATGGCTGGCAGCTGCACTTCTCTCTTTAAATGTCATGGCTCCAAACGGAAATCAAGTCGTGCTCCAGCCATTTCCTCTAAAGTGCGGCAGTTAACAAACATAAAAGACCCCGGACCCAGTACGCATTGGTTAAAGACGAACATTTATAACTGAAAAAAAACAGAGCCTATCTAGAATGCATGTAGTAATCGATTGCCGTGGAGAAGGCAGCGAATCCCAGTCCTCCAATGATGCCCGCCTTGATGCCAGCTCTCAGGCCAATTAGTCCTCCGGTGACGCCTCCGGCAATGGTGCCATTCTTCCAATCCGTGACGGCTCGATGCTGCAAGATCAATATAGAGATAAATATAATGTTAAATATATGTTTCATGCTAAATTAACGAAAAAAAATAAAACTTAAAGAATAGGACAATATATAAAATATAAAGTATAATGACAAAAAGTATCTTAATTTGGTAATGTAAATATAATATGATTAATTTGCACTAAAATAGATATATTCCTTAAGACTATTTATGTTTTATGAAAAGCTAACTCACACTCTCGATGGTGCACTCTACCGCGGAGAACATCATACCGATCAGGGCGAAATTTTTCGCATAGGAGTGGGTGGTGCCTCGCATCTCACGGAAGACCTCGCGGGCAGTTTGCTTCTTTGTATTGGCGAAGGGATCTGCCATGCTGGGATTAACGGAGGCACTGAACAGACCCAAGGCAGCTCCGAGACCATAGCCTGGAAATAAAATACATTACGTTAAAGAATAAAAGGGTAGATAACTATGGATTTGGACAGTCTCAAACCTACCCATAACACAGGCCATGGCGCACTTGAAGCCACAGCTCTCCACCCCCGATTCAATGAGCTTCTCTTCATTGGTCTTGATCTTTACCGGACCGTTGCTTGAGGGATTACGATGTTCTCGCGGTAGCGCTGCATATTGCCCACGAACTGCATGGCCATACGGTCCAGAGCGGCATCGTCGAACATCCGGGGCTTTTGGAGCTGTGCCTGCGGAGCTTCCTGCAGGATTTCGGCGTTCGGCGTGAAGGACATCTCTGCCGAAAGTCTTTTACTTAAATTTCAATTCAGAAAAACGGTTATTACGGGTCGAACGTGTTTTGGTACAAAAAAAAACCGAAATTATTATCACATCGCCGAACAGCTGTTTCCAGGGCCGGACTGTGACACCTTCGACTTTTAATCGATAGGCAGAAAAATACCAAAGAACGATTGTGGTATTTATTTTAATCGGCTGGGAGTCCCCTTTTTAAACTAAAGTATTTAAAAATTTCGTTACTTTCGCTAGGGCCTATACTTAATAAAAAGTACTTATAACATGCAATCCAATATATAATTTTTTTAATTATAGGGAAAATACAAAACTATAAATGTAGGCAGCTATCGGAAAATGTCAACCGCCTTACTAGACGCGCGTTTATCATTTTCCAAAGTCAAAATGCGTTTGGTCAGGTCGGCGACCACAGCCTTTAACTTCCTGACACTCTCACGCCTCACCACGACATCCTCCATACACTTGTCGTAGTCGTACATCAGAGAGACCTTGAAGAGCAGGCCGCCTTTGACCTCTAGCCGGGCGCGCTGTGCCTTCAACTGGGCGTGCTCCCACTGGAGGTTAGTGAGCTCTTCCCGCAGTTTATTACGCCTTAATAGCTTTTCATCGTACTTTAACTTGGCCTTCGACAGCGAATAGGAGATCATATCCGACTTTTCGCGGATGCAGGTCTCCTCGATCTTGGACTTTTTGTAGTTGTCCTGCATGAACAACACATCCTTGCACTTTTCTGTTGGTGAACATTAAAGAAAGGAATAGAAATCTATGTTTAGGGATGAGACTCACCTTCTAATTGTTTTTCCAAATGTATAACAGATTCATTGGCGCAAAGCATTTGAGAAATGGTTAAGGTGTCCGTGATTTTTTCGAATTTCGCAACTTTCTAAGTTTTATATAAATTAATTAATTAGTTATAAATATTTTTGTATTTTACCTGGTCCACAAAGGCCAAATTGTGAAGGTTCAAATTGAGCTCGTAGCGCTTCTCACTGATCTGGTTGCGCATATCCTGCATGCGTCTCAGTTCGCTGTCCAGGACCCGCTTTAACCGCTCCATATCCCGGCGGACAAGGGTCTTACGCATCAATCCCTCCAGCCGCTGCTCCTCGTTGAAGGAGAGAACAGTCAGTGAGGTTAGCTCTAGCATCGCCTTGTGCGTGTTGGTGTTGTAATTGATTTTCATGAACTTCACCCGCTCCCTTAGGCTATCGACCACATTGAGGGCATGAAGGAAGCGCAAGCGCTCCTTGGCGGCATCCTCCAGCGGCAGCACCAGGAATGGTGCCTTCTTGTGGTTGCGCCGGTAGTACTCGCAGACAATGCTGTTAATCTGGCTGCATTGGTAGTACTCAAACAAGTACTCGTCCACATCATCAGATAGTCTTTTAATCATCTTGTTCTTGTCCAAGCTGTGTTCCGAGTATGCAGCCCTCTCCCATTTTTCCACTACTGTAGAGATGAGATTTTCCGTTATTTCAGCGGCAAGTTTATGATAGAAGGGCACTTCGACAGCCCGAGGCTCTTCCGTATCGTCCGGAGGAATAATCTCAAGTGCATCCGTGAACATGGCCATTGTGTCCTCATCATCTTCTTTAATGACAACGCGCTTCTCGGCAGCCTCCACTTCATCCGGCAGGTCGTCTATCAATAAATCCTCCGACTGGCTTTCCTCCTCGACACCAGCTATGGCGTCCGCGGCATTTTGAATATTTTGGTCGGATGCTGAACCCTCGGACTCTTCCTCGCCACCCACTTCTCCATCTCCATCAAAAAAGTGTCCCTCTTCGTTCTCGTCAATGATTTTCTGCTGGTCATTGGCTTCAGCCGCGGTCCCGTCAAATGATAAGTCAAGGGATATGTCCGAAATGCTTGGTAAGCTCTCGAACTCACGGAGAAACGTACCCTTAATCGATTGCACCAGACGGGGCCGGGGCGTATCCTCGCTGCTAACCGACTCCTTATACTCGCCTTCATCTTCGCCTTCTCCCGATACTGTCGGTTCTATATTATCAAGCTCGTTGAGTACGGCCTTAATATCTTCGAACCCGTCAGAAGACTGCTCGCCGTCCTCGAATTCCATTAAGTTATCGCTTTCGTGGGAACCTTCTTCCCCATCTTCCCTAACCTTCTTTTTTTTCACGTGACCCTGTGCCTCTTCCTCAGCAGCCTTCAGGGCAGCTCTCATTGCCGCCTTTTCCAAGTCAAGCATTTTCTTAATTTTCTCGAGCTTTATGCGTTTGCGCTCGGCAGCGGTCACGGGACCCTTGGCTTTTTTTTCAGCCTGATGAGTATCATCCTTTGGCTTTACTTCACCATCTTCGCCCACCTCCACTGTCTGCTCCTCTCCATCGGCTAGGAGCTGTTCCTCAGCGCTCTTAAGTATTTCGGTTTCCACCTGACCTTCGGCTATCTCCTCTGTGAATACTGCCCCTGGCAAAGGGGCTTCTTCTGGTGCTGCAACCCCTTCAGCAGGAGCTGCAACCTCTTCAGCAGGAGCTGTAACCTTTTCAGCAGGAGCTGCAACTACTTCAGCAGGGGCTGCAACCTCTTCAGCAGGAGCGGCTGGAGGTGCCTCCTCGGTTGGGTTATCTGCCATTGTGATATGGCTTGGAGTTGAACTCAAAATATATATTTGTATATTGGTGCTTTTTTTGTAATTATGTATGTGCTACTTGAGACTAAAAACGAACAATGGTTATATACCGATATAACAAGCCAAGGCTTCTTGATTAGTCTTATATAATACATTTTATTGCTATCACAAGTTAATCATACACATATATACCACATCGAAGGAAAACAAAAGAAAGTTGTAATTGTCTGTAATGGATTTGAATGCAAGCTCTATATCTTTGGCCAAATCTAGGCTGGGACGTCGCTAGTTGAAGGCATAGAGCAGCAACAGGATCACACAGAAGCCAATAACAGCGCCTAGGATCAGAGAATCGCGTCGCTTTTTGATATTGATGCGCTGAATGAGACTGAAATGATTAGAAAAGACTAGTTATTAAAAAGGCAAGACTTAATGATTATTTAAATATTAACATTTAAATATCACCCATATTCATATAATCAAAAAACAGACCCATCTTTGTTGTCTTCTCTTAGAAGAAAAACCATAAAAATGTAGCCATGAAAATTCAAGGGGAATTGGTCTAATTTACGAACTCTGATATTAAATGACTGATAAAAAGCTTATGAGTCATATTTTAGAAAGGCGGATTTTTTCTAAGAGAAGTTTTGAAAACTCTCTTCTCACCTTGAAATCAGTGGGAACCGATTGGAGATATCGTTGAAGCGCGTCTGCAGCCTCTTAAATGCCTGTCGCTGGGCATGCAGGTGATCGCGCGTTTCAATAGCAATGTTGATCTGATCGTTCACCAGGTGACTGGCACTATTCAGGTGGCCGCTCTCCTTCAGGTACATTTCGCGGCGACTCAGACCCGAAATGGAGGGGCTGTTTGAGCTGGTGGCCAACCCCGAGCCACGGAGCAGCTCCTCGCGTTCGATGCGCATCGTGTGATTGGCGCAGATTTTATTAAACTCCTGCCGATAGCCCTGAAGAATCTCCCGGTGTCTTTGCAGGGTGTGCATGGCGGCAGCTCCCGAGGCAGGAAGGTCGGACATGGACTCGTTTAGCGAAGATAACTGGAATCAGAGTAAATGATTAGCTAACAGAAGATTATTCTTTATAAAGAAGACCAAAGCGGTTAATCTGTTCCTTTCGGAGAACAGAGAAACCCCAGGGGTCCATGTCCCACCTTATCCAGCATCTGCTCGATCTCCTCCGACAACGAGTCGAAGACATGCTCGCCCAGGAGCGGTGATGTGTCAACGGCACCGCTGCTACCTCCTAGGCCACCGCTGCCGCCACTGCTTCCGCCTCCGCCGCTGCCAGCTCCGATTTTGCTGAAAGCCACCAGCTTTAGGTCGATCTCATTTTCCAAGCTTCTTGCGCTCTTCCGCAAAACTGTGAGGGAGGATTAAAGAAGGGGTGTAGGTCATAGGTGAGTAAGTTTCCCAGGTGTGGGTAACGTCCAGGGCTTACCATCATAGCTTGATGCTCCCATTTGTCCAGTATAGTTTTCCTTTATTTGTCCGACTTTCGTGTGGCAAACGGTGTGGCCAGATCACAGGCTGGCAAACACAACGCAGACAGAATTTTGATTATTTATTTTTGGGAAACAGATTTATAAATTTAATGTTTAATTGTATTTTTACTCCAATTATTAATTTTTATTGATGTAGAATAACAGTTTTGCATCTCTTATTGGAAAAGAATTCTGGTAGAAATAGAAATTAAATACTAAGCACTTCTAATTAACGATAACTTATCGATTGCTGTGCTGCTCTGGTCATACTGTTGCGCCTTGCCTCTTGTTGCCGGCGAATTTCTGAACTTTAAATTAACAACTAAATAATTTGCCTTTTTAACATCATGTCACAGGCAACAAGTGATGTACGCGTGCCAGACGAGGAAAGCGATCTTCTGCAGATCAAGCCCCTGTAAGAAAGACTTGATCCGGATTATTTAAGGCAAAGAAACAAAGTTGTTAAATGTGGTCTTATTTCAGTGGAGCTGGCCAGGAAGTGGGACGCTCCTGCATAATGCTGGAGTTCAAGGGGAAGAAGATCATGCTCGACTGCGGCATCCACCCTGGACTGTCCGGCATGGATGCCCTGCCCTATGTAGATCTCATAGAGGCGGATGAAATCGACCTACTTTTCATTTCACAGTACGTATTGCCATTCATTAGCTCCGGTGTTTACGGAAGAATATTTTGTATGGCAGCTTCCACTTGGACCACTGCGGTGCCCTGCCCTGGTTCCTGATGAAGACCAGCTTCAAGGGTCGCTGCTTCATGACCCACGCCACTAAGGCCATCTACCGCTGGATGCTGTCGGATTACATCAAGATAAGCAATATATCCACCGAACAGATGCTGTACACGGAGGCCGATTTGGAGGCCTCAATGGAGAAGATAGAGACAATCAACTTCCACGAGGAGCGTGATGTTATGGGCGTCCGTTTCTGCGCCTATAATGCGGGTCATGTCCTCGGAGCTGCCATGTTCATGATCGAAATTGCTGGCATTAAGATTCTGTACACAGGAGACTTTTCGCGACAGGAAGATCGCCATTTAATGGCTGCCGAAGTACCTCCCATGAAGCCCGATGTTCTGATCACGGAGTCCACCTACGGCACTCACATCCACGAGAAACGCGAGGATCGGGAGAACCGTTTTACCTCCCTGGTGCAAAAGACGGTGCAACAAGGCGGCCGCTGCCTGATTCCTGTCTTTGCCTTGGGTCGTGCCCAGGAGCTGCTGCTCATCCTAGACGAGTTCTGGTCGCAGAACCCAGAGCTTCACGAGATCCCCATCTACTACGCCTCCTCGCTGGCCAAGAAGTGCATGGCCGTCTACCAGACCTACATCAATGCCATGAACGATCGCATTCGCCGGCAGATAGCAGTGAACAATCCGTTCGTTTTCAGGCACATCTCCAACCTTAAGGGTATCGATCACTTCGAGGATATCGGTCCATGTGTCATTATGGCCTCGCCCGGTATGATGCAGTCGGGATTGTCCCGAGAGCTTTTCGAGAGCTGGTGCACGGATCCCAAAAACGGAGTCATTATTGCCGGTTACTGTGTGGAGGGAACTTTGGCTAAGACCATACTCTCCGAGCCGGAGGAGATCACAACGCTGTCGGGGCAGAAGCTGCCTCTCAACATGTCCGTGGACTATATCTCATTCTCGGCTCACACGGACTACCAGCAGACCAGCGAGTTTATCCGCCTGCTCAAGCCCACGCATGTTGTGCTGGTCCATGGCGAGCAGAACGAGATGTCGCGCCTGAAGTTAGCCTTGCAGCGTGAATACGAGGCGGATGCCAGCACCGATATTAAGTTCTACAATCCGCGCAACACGCATGCCGTTGACCTTTACTTCAGGGGCGAGAAGACTGCTAAGGTGATGGGCAATCTGGCTGCCAAGAATCCCGAAGTGGGCAGTAAGCTCTCCGGCGTGCTGGTCAAGCGGGACTTTAAATACCATTTGCTGGCCCCCTCCGATCTGGGCAGTAAGTACTCCTATAATCCCTATATTCAAACATTGCCTAATAACTCCTTCTTAGAATACACGGACATGAGCATGTCGGTGGTCACCCAGCGCCAGTCGATTCCCTGGGCTAGCTCCCTGGCCACTTTGGAGATTCTCTTGGATCGAATCGGAGCCGGATGTGTGGAAACATTGGAGGCAGACCGCAAGCTGCGCGTCTTCGGCTGCATCGAGCTGACTGTGGAGCAGAAGATCATCGTCATGGAGTGGCAGGCGACGCATGTAAATGATGTCTACGCGGACGCAGTCCTTGCCTGCATCATGCAATCAGAACTGGGTGGCACAAACCTCAAGGGGGCCACGAAGCAGACTAAATCGGAGGACTCAATGTTCCGGGATTGCCTAATCGAGACCCTGCAGGACACCTTCGGCGATACCTGTGTGCCCAAGATGTTCAAGGGCGATGTGCTGCCGGTGACGGTGAGCGGCAAGCGTGCAGAGATCAATCTGGAAACTCTGGTGAGTGTCCATGGAAAGAGATCCAAGTTTGAAACCTGTTTATTTCTGAGCTACTTTCAGGCCGTTCACTGCGCCGAAGACGACGTCTTGCGACAAATGCTGAACACAACGGTGCAGAAACTGCACCAGACCCTCGTCTCCGCCCACTGATTATACCAAGCGCCATTCCAAAAAATATATATCTTCAGATGTGAGGATGTTCGCTTTATTGTTTGATTTCAAGAGATAAAATAATTAACGCTGGGTGCTCTTGGCGATCTGCTCCTTCAGCATCAGGATACTGGCCCTTTGCTCGGACGGCAGCTGGGCGATCTGCTCGTCAGACAACTGCAGCACCTGCATAATGAGAGCGGCCTTGTCCTGATCGGAAGCATCGGAGGGCAGGACTCCGTGTGCACCCAAACGGCTCTGAAGCTGTTGAGCAGCAGCCTGTTGCTGTTGTGTCGGCGGCGGCGCCTGAGGGATCACCTGCGGCGGCTGCTGCTGCGGCCCAGGTCCGGCCCTGAGGCGTGGATCCATTGGACGTTGGCGCGGATCGCTGGGATAGGGAGCAGGCGGGACCTGCGGAGGACCCTGCTGCTGCTGGGCCGGCATCTGGGCACGGGTCCGCGGATCCATTAGCGGCGGCGGCACTGGATTGGGCAGCACTCCCCGTAAGTCCTGGTCGATGCCGCGAGGCATCATCCGGGGATCCATCGGCATCGGTCCACCCGGCACCATGCGTAGGTCGATGTCGTTGTTGTGCACATTGGTGGGAAAGCCAGGTCCGGGCACGGGCATGGGCGGCGGCGCCGATTGCTGCATCTGCTGCTGCGGAATCTGCATCTGCTGCTGCGGGATCTGCACCTGTGGCGGCATCTGGACCTGTTGCTGCTGCTGACCCATCATGGATAATCCACCGGATCCCTGGTGCGGATTGCCGCCTAGTACGGGTGGCATCTGGTTGGCCTTGAAGAGCATGCCCAGGGCCTGCTGCGGGTCCACGATTCGCATGACGACCATAGCCTGCAGCAGGGCGTACGCCAATTGTGGATTCAGCATGAGCATCTGGCGAGCCTCCGACGGGTTGCTGACTATGCACAGCTTCATTTGCTTCATCAGCTCATACATCTGCTCCGGCGGCAGCGAAGCCACCGTCTTGGTGATCAGTTCAGGGGCGTCCTCGGGCTCGCACGGCTCCCCGTATGGGTTCTCCACCTGGGGGCCCTGTAGCAGCTGCTGCATCTCCATGCGCGACTTCTCCGTACAGGCGTTGTCCACACGCAGCGTCCGGCCGCCGATCTCGTAGCCGTTGAGATTCCGCATAGCACTCAAAGCCGTCTCCTGGTCCTTGTACTCGCAGAAGCCAAAACCCTTGGGCTTGCCGCTTTCCCGGTCGAATACCAGCCTGCAAGGATATCATTTTAGTCAAGTACTAGCAGTAGTCTCTCCCCGTCTTGCAGAACTCACTTGAGCGAGAGCACCGGGCCCACTTCGCTGAAGATTTCCTTGAGCTTCTCCTCGGTGGCCTCGTAGGGTATGTTGCCCACGAACACCGACCGCATGGACTTGTCCATGATACTCTGTTCTTGCGCCTTATCTGCCATCTCGTCTATTTGTTATTATTTAATGCACAAAACACAGCAAACGTTGGCTCCTTAAAACAATTAAATTTCCCTTCAAAGCGGCACGTTCTTCTTCTTCCTGCCCGAAAATGTCCCAAACCAGGGCCGCCGCGTATATATCGATAGTTTTGAAAACTTCGATATATCGCTGAATTTCATTAAAAAAATGTTGTTTTAATATATCATTATTAATAATATACCTTACAAATTCTTAAACATATAAATATACAGAGGTAGTCAAAAGTATTTACACAAATTCACAATTATTTGTTGACCAATTTTCCTGAAATTTTCTTCATCGCGTAGCTTGTTCTATGCAGAAGCAGGCCCAAAAGCAAAAGAAAATAATGTTCTTTATTTTAGATATAGGATATAAATGGATATAATTGAGTTTATTAAAACCCAATTGAAACCCTTCATCGATGCCAAAGCAAATTTTTTATAAATGTTAATAAATGGACTTACAACATTTTCTCTAAAAACAATAATAAAATTAAATATAATTAAATTTAAGATTAAAACAATTTATGTGTAAATACGACACTTTACATCCATAGATCAAGATCAAGCTATGCGAAACAGAAAATTTTTGGAAAATTGGTCAACAACAACTAAAAGAAGTTTAAATGTGCATCGTTGTGCATATACTCTTGACACCCAATAAAGACTATATTTGAGAGTAAAAATTGTAATGCGCCCTGCACTGCTTTATAAAGACAAGTTAAATTTTTTTATAATTATATTTATAATTTTAATACATAAATTTAATTTAATTTTAAATTTAACTTTAAAATAATATAAAATGTGTATTTCAAAAAACAAATACCTAGCGTCTAGCCTGGAAGTGAAGTTATCGATGTATCGCCACTTTGAAACACATCGCTATCGTTATCGTTAATTTTGCAGCTCTACTGGTGTTGTAATTTTTCTTGTCGCAAGGTGAAAACGATTTAAACGGTTTTAAACCAGTGAAAAGTGTACCAAAATGCTCGATTTGCACGAGAAATTGTAGTTGAAGGAGGCCTGTATCCGTTTTCGTAGCGGTAGTAGTGAAAATACGGCCCAAGTGCAACAAAAACGTGCTTGAAAATTTTACTTTGTGTGTAGCCGAGGCACTCGCACTCATACACACATACGCGCACGCACTCCAACACACGCTCGCACACAACACACACACACAGAGGGAGATAAACGCAGCGATGGCCTCGCAGTCGTACTCGCACATATAAAAGCTCGCTTGTATATTGGAGAAGGAGCGCACAAAGCAGAAGACGAGAGGAAAGATTTCTGTGTCATTGAACGAGGCGACGACCAGAAAGAGAGCCAGGAGTCCTACTCCTCTCCAGCGGCTGCAGGTGCATACTCTTTTCAAGGATAACCCCACACATCTATAGGGGCTCTCTCCCAGAGCAGCTCGTCTGCTCTCTACCTCTGTCTCTCTCACTCTTCTCCCTCGATCGATACTGGTAATTAGCTGGCGTCCTCTCCTCGTGGATTGTCGTTCGTTCCATGGACGAAATCGATTCCAATGGGTGACGAACAAAAGCGGAAATATGTGCATTTTTAAATCGCGTGTGCGTCTGTGTAATAATAAGCATAATAAGCACAAATAGCAGTGAAAAGCGTTAAAAAAATAAAGAAAAAAATCAGACAATAAGTGGCAAGATCAGCAACATTAAAACACACACACACACAAGCTTACGCTGGCAGACACACGCACAGTGGAAAAAGGTTTGCTTTTGGAATTAACATTTAGCTTGAACTTGATTAAATGCAACGCACTTTCTGTTCTTTTATGTTTTTTGTTAGGTGTTCGTGTGTGTGTGCTTAGGTGTAGGTGTTGCGATTGTGTGTGAGCGGTGTGTGCGAGTGTGCCGGTGTGTGTGAGTGTGTAACCTTTGCAAAGGAAAAATCAATAGCAACAGACGTAGACATTTGTTTGCCGCTGTTTATACACGATGTACATGTGCAGCCCTCCCATCATCCTGTCCTGCTCTCATCTTTGCCCATCTCCGTCAGGACGAGCAACCCTTGCAGAGCCCAAGTTCAGCCAGTTAGCCAGCCGACCCAAAAATAATAAAAAGCAAAAAAGCTAGCAAATATAGTACTATAAATAAAAGCAAGAGTTGGCTGAACCAGCAGCGGCAGCAGCAAAAGGCGAAACAAAAAGAGCCAATAACTCGTCATCGGGCTGGGTCGTTGCCTCCGCTTCCGATATTTCCTGTGACTCTTGCGAGTCGCCCTTTTCCAGCGAATAAAAAAGCTGCTCCAGAAGTGGTCGCCCTCCTCTCGGGGCCGGCATTCCAATCCGCCATTGCTCAAAGTCTCCCACTTGACGATTAATGACCATTCCACTAATGATATTCCACGGCATCCTTATCCTTCATTTACAATTTAGCAGTACAAGGATAATGCCATTCGTTAGTTATTTATCCTTATTACCAAGAAAACAAACTTAGATTCTGAATCCTAAAACTAATTAATTGTGTGCGAGTCAGAATTAGAGTATAAGAATATGAAAAAATTCTCCATGAATATTTGCGCTGTTCTGATTATTTCAAAATTCTAATTTCGAAGTAAAATATTATATCGTCCAATATCATGAACTGTTTTCTCTGTTTTGTACACTCAAATCTTGCAACTAATAATTCTTTTCAATTATTCAAAACAATAATTAATTTCAAATTTACTAAATTCTAAATAGTGGTTTTGATAAAAACTTATTAAAAAGTAACCATAGTTAGTATAACAATTTTAATAGTTTATTAAATAATAATACAGTAATTAGAATTTCAAAGAAAATGGTTTCTTCTGACCTAAATATTTAAAATATAAAGAATATGATACCATATTTGGATCATTTAATAGTTAGTAATCCCTTCCATTCCATCCCCCCACACCCTCAAAGTTTTATTGGCTTTGGTGAACGCCCAGTTTGTGTGAAGATTACGCTTCACGCATTCCTCGGATAACCGAACGGCGCATTCTTCGTGTATCAGCTTACCTACCGGAGGCACTGATATCAGAGCGCGGATTAGAGCTCTGGGCCAGGCGGCACCGCGAACGTCTGGCATTCACATACTGACATTCCTTTTCCCATTCTCCATTGCAGCTTGCCAGAGTCGGATCACCAGAGGATTGAGCACGATGGCCGCTACACCAATTGAACACACTGTTTTATGACTCTGAGCGGCAGCCCATCCAGAGATCCGTCGCACTAGAGAGCGAAGGTAGCCATCCAGGGAGCAGGAGCAGCCAGAGAGAGATCCGCAGAGGAGCAGCTACCGAGAGAGCGAGACAAAGGTCAATCCAAAGCGCCAAAATGGTCGACAACAGCGTTCAGTGCCCCGTGTGCACCTTGTACCTGCACGCGGGAATGAATCTCTCCGATCACCTGGAGACTCATCCCAAAGAGCAGGTGATCAAGGCGCTGGTCCAGATGACGATTGCCGGTAGCGGCGGCAACAACAGCATGGGCAGCGCCCTGGCGGCCGCTATGATGGCAGGAGGCTCTGGAGGCGGTGGGTCTGATGGCGGAGAAGCCAGCATGGCAGATGAGAAGACCGCCTTTACATTGTCATCACCAAGTGGCGATGTAAAACCAGTTGTGGCCACCAGCCCGCCAGCGATGTCCAAAACCATATCAGCTGCAATGCCCGTAGTACCGACAGCACCGCCGTTGCCGCCGCTCTCCTCCGCCAACGCGGCACCCTCCTGCACATCCCCTTCTGCAAGTAGCAGCACCAGCAGCAGTAGCAGCAATCTGAGCAATCCACCGATGAAAGCACTGAAATGCTCACCGCCCACGACTGAGGCGCGAGCCAACACATCCGCACATCCCACCATAAGCAGCGTGTCCACACTGTACCAGTCGTCGCTGGTCGCTCCGGATTATCGCTTCAATCACCAGCAGCAGCAGCAGCAGTCCGGCTTTGGGCGTGGTGTTGCTGGCACCAACGCAACCACGCTGGTAATACCGCAGGTTGCGCAGCAGCACTTCCTCGCCAGCCATCAGCAGCAGCCGCACTTTACGCATCAGCAGCAGCAGCAGCAACAACAGCAGCATCAGCAGTCTCCCCTAAAGTTTACCTACGCCACCGCTTTGCCGCCGCCACCACCGCTGCAGGTGAGTTTTGCCTGTTATAAAATAAGACAGCAACCTATTTAATAAATTTATTAATTTAAGTCACAACCATACTAATATAATAATAATAATTCGGACTCCCTCCAATTGCAGCTCTTTACGCAGCAACAGCCGACGGCAGTTTCAGGCCAGCTGCAGCCGCAGCCTCACCAGAAACCACCTCCCGCCTATGGAGCCGCCATCAGTCAAATACGATCTCAGCACAACCAAATCAAGCAGCAGCCACATCAACAGCAGCTGCATCAGCAGTCACAGCCACCCCAAATGAGCGGGCAGCACAACCTATCCCTGGCACCACCGACACCAACAACAGCTCCTTCGATATCAGCTGCAGGTGGAAAGCAACCCAGCAAGGCGCATTCGGAAGTATTCCTGAATCCCCCACCACCACCGCCGCCACAACAACAGGCAACGGCACCGATCCATAGCCTGGGGCAACATCAGCAGAATCATCAGAGCCATCCACAGTCTCATCCTCATTCCCATTTGCAGCATCAGACCCACCAGCAGCAGTTGGCCACATCGCCATCCTTAAGATTGCAGCATCAGCAGTCACTGAGCATGCAGACTTACGGTTCGGGTTTGAGCAGCAACTGTAGCTCCAACTCTGGACCAGCCGCTGCACCTGGTAGCCGCAGCAATCGGCAAACTAACTCACCTTTCGGAGCACTGCTCAACGCAGCGGCCGCTGTGGCCTGCGCCTCGCCAGCCTCGACCAACGCCTGTTCGTCGGTGCTGCGCTTTGCGGAATCACCGGTGGCCCACTATCTGGAGCGTGAGAATGGTGACTTTATTGTCCAGGAGACGCCCAAGCATATTGTGGAGTGTGTGGAGAAGGAGGACGGTGAGTTCTCTGTGATCGAGCGCATTTACCAATCCCCGCCGAGTGTCCTGCACATACACGATGACGATGAAGATGAAGAGGACGAGGAAGAAGAGGAGGAGGACGACGGCAAAGCTCAGCCAGAGGAGGAGGTAGACGGAGACGATGAGCGGGAGGAGAATAGCCGCAGTTGCAGTCGCAGCCGGAATATGAATAAGACAACGAAAAAATCGCGAAAGGCCAAGCCCAAGCGAAGCACCAAGCGCGTCGGGGACGAGTTTATTAGCAGTGGCTGCGAGAGTGAGCAGGAAACGGAGCGCAAGCCCGACTCGCTATCCACGACATCAACAACTGCACCTGCGCTTTGCACAGGTCCCTCTACCAGTTCTGCGGCTGCAGAATCCGTTGCTGCCACGTCCAGCAATCTGACGGATACCCATTCCAATTCGGCCTCCAATTCCGCCTCGAACTCCACCTCGACCACGACGAAGTCCAAGAAGAATCGGATTACAGTGCTCAGCGATGTGCCGCTCAATATGAATGAGTACCTCGATTTGATGGGCAACATTGTGGCCTCCAGTCGCATTGGGGCAGGACGTCCCTTTGCCGCTGCAGTTCCCATTCCCTTCGTCAAGGTGGAGAAGGAGGAGCCCCTGGACGAGTACGACGACAACGAGGCAGCGCAGCAGCTAGAGCAGAAGCCCAGCTTGGAGCATGGCACTACCAGCGTCATTCGCATGGCCAGCACAGTGACAGCGACAGCAACGACACCAGCGGCTGAAGAGGCACCCGTCGAGGATCCCAACGAGCCGCCGCTCATGAAGGTCGAGGTGGAGCCCAACACGATGCTGCTACCGCAGCGCTTCTCCACTCCTGCCCAGAGTCGCGGACCCAAGAAATTAGTCATCAAACCAAAGGCAACCGCATCTGCACCAGCGACAGCAATGGCTACGGCGACGGAGACGACAACAAAAAAGACTGACACCTCTCCATCTTCCTCTTCCAGCAGTAACGCATCCATATCAAGAGATCTGGGGCAGGTGCAGGTAAAAAGTGAGACTCCGGAGGCTCCGGCGGTAAACAGCAGCAGCAGCAGCATTCTGGAGAAGCACCTAACTACCAACCGCAACCAGGCCCAGCACCACCATTCGGCGGTCAACGATGACGATGCCCGGGTGCTGCTGGAGTTTGCCAACTCCAAGCAGCCGCCACCGCTGGCAGCGTCCAGTACCACGTTCGTGGTGAATGCCAGTACGGGATTCCCATCTGCAGGATCCGTTTTCGCAAGCAGCAGCACCACCATCAGCTCCAAGGCGGCGCTAAAGCCTGGCGATGAATATATTCTGCCGGACAACACAAACCTGGAGGTGGATGAGATTGTGATATCCTCGTCGTCTTCCTACGCCTCCTCAGCGGCCCAGTTGCAGGCAGGTCTGCAGCCGCCGGACTTTAACTTCCTTTACCAACAGACCACCAGCACGGTCACCACGGCAACCTATCCTTTCAATGCCTTCTCCAGGCAGCACCAGCAGCAGCAACAGCATGGTGCAAGCGATGCCACCAATGCAGCTACTCTGGCCTCCTCTTCCAGCAATTCCATGGACCACGACTCGATGAATGCCTCGTTCCGTGTGGCCAAGACGCAGTCGCTGCAGTGGTACCAGCAGGAACAGGAGAACGATCCACAGAACCAGGCAGAAGGAGCTGGAGCGTCGGGAGTGTCCTCCAACCATAGCCACACGGATGTGGTTAGTCACCAGCCCACCAACTTCAATGCCGCCTTGGCGGCCGTCGATTGCTGCAGCGTTGCAGCCACGCTGGACGAGGAAGCAAAGTATTTGGACTTGGACACCTGCAAGCGGGAGCAGCTAAGCAGCAGCAGCAACCTACCGTCAGCCTCCGCCTCCACATCCACCACCTCATCCTCGTTCGCCGGTGCTGGCACGGAGAGCAGTTTGGTGGGTGGCCTCAACATTCGTACCGATGAAAAGATGCCCGCCAAGGGTGAGATCTCCGAGCAGGAGAGCAACTGTGACATCGAAAACTCCTGGAGTGAATCGGTTAGTAGAACCGCTTTACGGTCTTTCGGGTTATAAATTTATTTATTTAATATGTATTTTATTATTATTTCTATTATTTCTACAGGTTTATGGGGACATTTCGCAGCGTTACTTTAGGAACCAATTCTCTGGAGGCTACAACCCTGACTGGCGGCAGGACTATTACCCGGCTCAGGATCTCAGCGGCGCCCAGCAGAGGGAGCATAAGCGGTAAGAATTTCCGATGTCACAGAGAGTGACACCATCGTTACCTTAATTGAAATGTGAAAAAATAATGATTCCTCTTCAAACAATTGCAGCTTCGACTTCAATGCGATTGATGATGAGGCCTCATCTAGCTCTAGGAAGAGCCAGCTAACGGATATCGTCCCAACTGTGGCCACCTCCTCCACTTCCACGTCATCGGCTTTGCTGGCGGGACCACCAATAGCTTCGACATCTAGGGCTGCCGCCGAAGCGGCAGCGGAGGCGGCGGCTGCTCTCGCCCAGCGAAAAACACATCGCCGTAAGCTTTACAAGTGCCCCCATTGCGATACCATCTACGAGAAGCTCAAGGAGCGGAATGCCCACATGATTAGCGACCATAACTATGTGCGTCAAAATCGACGGCTCATCTGTACCCAGCCGCAGGTCAATGAACCGATGCTGCCTCAGCAGCATCATGCCCAGTTGCTGCTGCAAGCGGATGAGGCTCTGCAGGAGGACTCAAAGGATGGCATTGTGAAGATTAAGCAGGAGCAGTGTACGGAGAAACCTGAAGTCGAGCAAATGCGCCACGCCAGTTCAGCTGATCTGCTGTCGGATGTGAAGGACTCTGAGCTCCTGGGCATCGGCGGCGAGGGCGATGCTGATTTAGACGCCGATTTTAAGCCACCTAGCCAGCTATTCGAGAAGTCGTCCCCACTGCCGCCGCTGGCCATGACAACGCCGGCTGCAAAGCTTGCGGCGCTTTATCGCATGCTTATCGCCTACAATGAATCGAAGCTGGGCCAGGAGCGCAACAACCTCAGCGAACTGGAGCAGAAGGCCATGGAGAAGTCGATCTTCCTGTGCTATGTCTGCCGGACTGACTTCCCCTCCGTTAAGCTTTATGACGCCCATCTCACCGAGCATCCGGCCGAGTGTTTCACCTGCGGCAAGAAGTTCTACCGCTGGAAGAACTTCTCCCTGCATCTGAAGCGGCATCTGGGCTGGAAGGAGTTCGGCTGTTACGTGTGCGATAAGAAGTTCGTGGTGCGGAGCGCCCTCGTCGAGCACATGCGGATGCACACGGGCCAGACGCCGCTTAAGTGTAAGATATGCGGTATGTATACTAATCTAACATACACAGAAGCATTTACTAACTCAAACTCTATTTGTCGAATGCTCAGGTAAAAAGTTCAAGCGCTACTCGAATCTGACGCAGCACCGTAAGAGGCACACCAAGGTGATGGTGCGGAAGAAGGAGTACGTGTGCCACTGTGGCGAGGTTCTGCCCTCAAAGGCGCGTTTCCTCTGGCACAAGGAGACGCACGACCTGAAGCCGAAATGCTGCCCGTATTGCTGTGACCGATTTGTACACGCCAACTCGCTGCGCCGCCACATCCGGCTGGCGCACTCAGACAAGTTTGACTACGCCGAGCCGATGGAGTGCCCCATGTGCAAGCAGATCTTCGCCAAGACATCGATCAAGGCCCACATGGCGACGCACTCGACGGAGCCGCAGTACGACTGCGCCATCTGCAACAAGAGCTTTTCCACTAAATGGAATCTCAAGATCCACTCGTGGGTCCACGCCAATCGGACGGCCAAGCCCTTCAAGTGCGAGTACTGCCCGAAGGCGTTTGTGCGCGAGTTAGACTTCAAGAACCACATCAACGCGCACAAGCAGATCAAGCCGTACACGTGCGAGTACTGCGGTTGCAAGTTCATCCGCAAGTACAATTACATGCGGCACCGCCGCGAGCACCACGGCACCAAGAAGTTCACCTGCGACCAATGCGACAAGTCCTTCCATCGGCACTACTATCTGATTGAGCACCGGCGCATGCATACCGGCGAGCGACCTTTCACCTGCACCATTTGCGGCAAGAGCTCCACCACCAAGACCAACCACAACAAGCATCTGAAGATCCATCACTCGCGCGACCCGTTCACCGTGGAGGTCTAAGAGCTAAGAGGAGGGAGTGGGTTGGTAATCAAACTAAAGTTTAATATAATCATTAATCTAGGTAGCTGTTCATTGACTCTTCTCTGTGTGTAATAATGTGTGTCTGTGGTTATAACGACAAATGAAAACAAAACAACAAATTAGTATTACTTATCGAACTATATGCGAATGCCAACTCTTGTTGAAAGAGCAGACGAGAAACAACAATTATCACAATAATTACATTTTACTAATCATACATTTTTGGATGTGGTTTAAGATCGTAACGTAGCTAAATGTGAAAGTGTTCCCCTCTCTTTCCCATATCCACCTCTTCCTCAGCCGCTTTAATCCCATTTAGGTTATAGATTTATTTAGCGAAATGGCGTGCATACCTAGTTCAGTGCAATATACATCGATTAATTACTACTATATATGCCACGATATAATTTTAATTTTTATTTCCGTAGTTCTTAGTTCGCATTAAGCCTATTATTTGATGTACGCATGCGTGCTAGTTAATCTAAGTTAGCCACAATTGGTTTTAACAACTTTCGAGCACATTCTAAGCGAAGGACACACACATTACGCAGACAAACAAAACGAAGACCCATCTGAGAAACTTGTTATATAATTTGTATTTTTCTAATTGAACAACAGCAATCGAACGTAAGCGAACACAACTGTCATATTGGGATAAACAATTTCGATGTACGTAGCGTATTTTCATTTATAGTAGTTGCAACTTCTCTAGGCTATATTTAAAGAAAAAACAAAGATTGTTTCAATGGTTTAATGCAGCAATTAGTTAAAATTTCTAGCATTAAGTGAACACAACATTAAGTATAAATGAAATTTCATAATACATACATGCATTCAAGCATTATTATAATAATAATAATAACGAAAACAAACAAATGAAAACAAAAACAATTTTAAAATATTTACAACTTACAATACAAAAATTTCAATGAGAACTAATGGAAAGAAACAACCATTCTATGGAGGAAATAAATTCAATTTATGGATAATTACAAAACAATTATGGATTTCAATCTAGTATATTTTATTTCTTACCGTTGGCCGGAGGGTGGAATTAATAAAGTCGATATCTGAATTTGAAATCAGACTCAAGCTGCCTATTGAATGGATAAGCATCAACAGCCGAGTCGATCTAGACATGTTCTTCCGTTTCTACGCAAACTTGTCCCACTTTTGGATACATCATATCGGATTTTTTCTCTAGAATTAGTTAACTTACTGTTTATACGGTAAAATTAAGAAAGATGTATCCAAATATATTATAACTAAATTTTGTATTATTTATTAATAGAAGAAATTGAATTGGAAATAATACTGATACATATTCAATTATGTAAGATAATATAATGAATGAAATTAAAGCGCGCATTTTCTAAACGCTGATAACGGATATAATAGGATCATATTTTTTGTAACTTCTTGCTACTTTAGTTCTTTTTCTTGGGTATTAACATTCGACTATCGATAAGCGACTGATAGACCAGCTTCCGTTTGTGCCTGTTCTCAAACAGTTCCACCTCGATGAGATCATACTCGCCGGCGTCAGAATGGGGGCTTTTGTTAACATGGAAATTGAAAGGATAGTGGACTCGGGCATAGACCCGCGGATAGTTGCAGAGGCAATCTCGTAGACAATGGCGCACTTTCTGGTCCTCAAAGTTCCGGTTCCTCTTCACGCCGTGCAACTTGACGCGGAAGGAGCGCAGCGGAAAGATGTACAATTGGTTGGGCATCTCCTTAAGGTGTGTGTACGGCACCTGCTCGGTATCGTGAAAATCAATATAGAATACAGTGGCCAGCTGAGTGCTATCCTGGATCTCCTTAACAATGCCCCGATACCATCGCTTATCCTTTGAGTAGCAGGCCAGGCACAAGTCGTTCGCCTTGGGACTCGAGAGGGCATCCGCCTCTTTGATCAAAAGACTCGTTTCCTTGTCCAGACTAAGTTCGTGCTTGGTAAATTCGGTGAGATACGGAGCTATCTGCAGCTCTACAGCCGAGAGCACATTGTCCACGCTGCATTCGAACTCCCTGATGCCATTGGGAAGACTGAGCGTCTTGAAGCTGTTGCTGCCATCAAAGTAAGATCTCTGCGAAGATGTGTCCTTTGGCGAGAAGGAAACATTTTTTTCATTTCCTGTGCAGAAAAGAAAGAAGATAAATGGAATTCGAATCTAGTATCCCACACTCACCTTATGGCGCAGTTCAATGCGTCGTTGCAATTGATAAAACGATGAAACGTTGAGCGGCCCCAATTCCATTTCATCGCTGGTGGTATCGCTGGTGGTAACGCCGGTGGTATCGGTGGATTCTTCGCCATCAATATCGATGTCCATTTCGTGAACAGCACAATCTGTGTTCTTCTCGTCCTCATCGTCTTCAATTTTGAATCCTTTTGTCTGACGCTCTCCAGAACGTCCGTCTGAGTCGCCGAAATCGTAGCTGTTGCTGAGGTGCATCTCCTGTGCTGCCTGCTCGCAATCGAAATCCTGGTCGTTTTCAAAGCGATTCACCTCCTCGCTGTTAACCATATACTTCTTCTTAGCCAGCGGCTGGTGTAAAGACAAATTGGTTTCGTTTCTACGATGAGGCTTTTCCAATTTGCCAAAGGTACTGAACGCCGGGAATGCCTCTTGTTGTGAAGTGGATTTCTTAGTGCTGCTCTGTTGGGGGCTTTCCGTTGGAATTGCAATGCCTGAGTCAATCATCATGGTGGCTATGTCTACGTTTCCCACCTTGATTTGGCAGGTGGGCAGGGTACTGGCCCCTACCCCCTTGGGCTCCACCACACGCACACTGCTTAGCTTCATGACCAGATGGTGATGCATCGTATCCATCTGCTTCACTGTATACTTTCCGTTCTTTGGTCGAACCCCGTCAATGCTAACTAGCCAGCACATGGCATTCAATTGCGGGAAGGGAGCATATGGCAGCATTTCGTCTGCCTTGACCTTCTCCAAGTTACCATAGTCCACATAGTAAACCGTGTACTGATCATGCTTGTTTCGCGGACTCTGTACTATGCCGCGATAGAGCAGGCCGTCCATGTGATAGGTGGCCAGCACCGGTTGGCCCACATCGTAGGCGTAGGATCGATTCTCTTCCTGCTGCTTCTCCATCAATGGTTTGTAGTGTTGCTCCAGCAGCGTGCGGATGTGCTCCAAGTAGGGTTTGTCGCTACCCAAGCTCAAATAGATGCTTCCCTCGTAGTTCACGTTCGTGGCAATGGCCGTGAAGATGGTCTTGTCGCACTTGCGTGGAGTCGTCCAACCAGCAGGTGGTACAGTTTGTCCAGTCGTTACTTGGTCCTTCGCCAAATCATGGAGCAGTTCAATTGGTGGCATATCCTCATTGTACACGAAGCCCGTCTGCACTATGGGCGCATCGATCCGACTACAAACGTTGGTGGATTTATCAATCCTATTCACCCAGGATTGTATTGCCTTCATGTCCCTGGCGGTAGTGGTGCCGCGAGAGGAAAAGCTGGCATTGTCCATCAACAGCTGTTGGTTATCGTTTAAATTCTTCGTGGCCAAGTTCGCCTTCAAAAGTTTCTTGTTTATATTCACAAATTTGATGCGAGCGGGCGAAAAGGGTCCGGTGACCACGGTACGCGAGCCCCAGACAATCACGCTCTGAGACTTATCCGTAGAACCCTGACTCATCAAATAGACCTGATCGTAGTGCTGCAGCTGATCCTTAAAGAAATCAATGGCCTCGGAGCTCCACTCGGTGCCCACAGCTTGGACGCCGTGTAAATGGCATCGATAGGCGCTGCTGGAAATTCTCAAATTGGGCTCGTCTATTTTGGTTATGCAGTTCGGGGGCACATCCTCTACCACCTGGCCGAAATCCCGCAAGAGGACATGGTAGCGGCAAGATGAACTGACGTTCGTTACCACGCCTCGATGCCAAAGGGTGTCCAAGTCGGACTGAGCCTGGACTTTGACAAAGCACATATCGCCCACTTTCCAATCGGTGCGGGGCATCTGATCCTCAGACATGGCCTCCGCCGCCGTCTGCATAGTCTTTTGCAGGTGTTCGATTTGCGACAGAAACTGGGGCAGGGTGACATAGAACTCATGCGGATGCCGGATGTAGAGAACTTTCACTTTTACCCGCTTGTTGCGGTCCTCAGCTTCTGCCTCCGGCTCACGAAAGGGTGTCAGCTCCATCGCCTTCACCCTCTGCCGATCGAGAAATCGGCGGGTGTCGGCATCAAGGAGCATTGATCTTTGCAAAACACTTTGTGTGTTCGTGAACATTCGGCTGCTCTCCCCACTGGATGTACAATGTCCTTGGGCGACCATTTGGACGGCAACGTTTGTTGTCTCAGAAACGCCGCGCGTGTATCTCAGCGCCACATAGACCACATCGTCGGTGAAGTTGATCACTTCTATGTGCAACTTGGGGTTCGAGGTGAGCTGCTTAAAGAAGGCCGTTGCCTCTGGAGTCCACACATAGGACAAATTTTGCAGGGTCTCTACATCCGCCAAGCAGCACCTGATTGTCCGCTCCGGTTCCCAGAACTCAGATGGCAGCACGAATAATTTGTCCCAGAATATTTTCTGGCAGGGGCCATCGTCCACCAGGCGAACAAGAACGTATCCTATAACGAATAATTTTATATTAAAGTTTATTCCTGAAGAGGTAACACTCACCATCGAACAGTATCTCCTCGATGCTAGCGCGTTTCCATTGGCCATCATTTAACTGCACCACGCAGCCAAGGTGCAGGCGTCCCATAAAGATGTGCTCCAGCGTGCTGAGGTTCAGGAAATCCATATATCTTTGCAGATTGCTCTGCTTCAGGCACCGCTCACCCTCAAGGTCGTGGCGCATCACATAAAACTCTTGCGGATGCTCCACATGCACCATTTGGATCATGAACACATCTCCAATCTGAAGTTTTGGTCTGGGCAGACGGAGATTGTTTGGAGCGTCTAGCTGCAATAATTTCAGGACAACGGCCGGAGGACGTCCGCACCGAGATCGGGCTAGGCCAGATATAAAAAAGACTTGCATATCGAGATGTTAGTGTTGTAATTTTTGGTGATCAGATCCACCTCGTGGAGACCATGGGACAGAGCCTTTTTGACGATCAGGTGAACGGAATTGCTGCAAGTAAGGAAGATGGTTTAGAGGTGAAACGAAAGGGATTTTTATACACATATCGCGAGAGAAAACCTTGAAAAATATATATAAGTGTTGAATGTATAGAATTTAACGTTCCAATACAAAAAAAAAAAACTTCATTTTAAGTAAAAATATGAATTTCAACGATTTACCAAATATTTTACTAAATTTGTTAAGTTTTCATATTATATTGTTCCAATATATCAAATATCAATATCAATTTAGCAAAAATATCGTATACTTTGATTGATTACAAAATTGTAAATATGGAATGATATTGAATTTAACGTTAAAATATTGATGTTAACAATTTACCAAAATCTGTATTAAACTTGTGGTCTTTTTCCAATTTTGTTTGTCGGATATATCAAACAGAATATAGATTTTTCGCACACTATAGCAAATTTAGAATATCTAGTTTCGTGTCAAATGATACAGTACTGATCTATATCCTAGAAAAGGAGCACCCTACCCTAGGATGAACCTCTTACTTTTTTACTATCTGCTTCAGATGGGTGATGGCCTCGGGAGCCCACTCCGAATTTGGGCCCAATCCGGGCATAAGCTCACTGAGTCTGCAGTGTACGGCGGAATATGGAATATGGGACAGGTGCTGCGGCATTTCTCGGAATCTGTTTAAAAAATAATGAAATTACTAACCGCAGAAACAAAATGAACTCAATTTATACTCACTGGCTATTGTGCATCTCGACGTAGAGACCAATGTCCGGCAACAAGATCTTGTAGGTGTCCTGTGTGGCCATCTTCTGGCTGACCATGGCCCGATAATAGCGTTTCTGATCTTGGTGAAAGATGATGTAATGCTGGCCCACCACAATCTCCGGGGGATTGCAGTGACCGACTGTAAGAGACTGTGCAAAAGTCTCTAGCTCCTCGCGAACTCGCTGGGCCGCCTGAACGCCCTGTACGTAGAAGTCCTCCGGTGAGTTGATGAAGCGCACTTTTACCAGGACATAGGTTTTAATCCAGTCTCCTACTTCAGGACCCCTGGTTGTATTATTGGGCTTGGCAATATCCAAGGCCAAGAAGCTGTCCACAAAGTCCAGCTGATGATGATTCCTTTGCTGAAAACTATCGATTATGCCCGCAATAGAGTTGATGCTTGACTTATTTGACTGTCGTTTCTGGGAATTTGACATCGAGTTGAAGTGGTCTTTCTCGCTGAACGGTTGCTGCTGATGCTGCTGCTGTCGAGGTCCGTTGACATTGGACCACGTATCGTTCTCCTTGCCACAACTGGAGCTCAGGTAGAATGTAATGCCTGCGTTGTTGATGCTGGAGATGGTGCTATTACACTCGAAATCGGTCTTAAAGCTGACCTTAATATTGGGATCTATGAATTTACACTTGAACTTTTGTTTAATTATGCTGGGTATATCGATGTGTTCACTATAAATGCTAAAAAGTTATAGAAAATAAGTATGATTATCAAATAAAATCTGATATTGAAAAGGTATAAAACTCACCGATAGGGATTTATCTTGATCTGACTAATTTGCACTGTGTTAGGTATCTTCTGGAGGTGCTCTTCAACCAGATTGATGATCTCTTCTAGTCGTATATTGTTGGGCACGCCCATTTTGGTCTCTGAACCATTATCCAGATATTGCATCAAGTGCTATCACCATGGAAAGGGAAATGTTGGTGAGGAAATTGGTATGTACATATATGGGATTACCCGCAAACCCACCTTGATCAGTGCTTCGTAGACGCTCAGTGTGCCCATGGCTTCGTTGAGCTCCATTTGGGGCGGCAGACTGGACTCTCGCAACTCCTCGATGACCCGTTGCTCGGCCACCTGAAGCAGCCCGTGCAGGTGGGAGAAGTACTTGGACACACTGGTCAGCGTCTCGGAGGCATAGTCGCTGAGCTTCTGTTTGGCCGCTCGGACCACCTGCCAGAGAGTGGGGGAAATACCAGAAAGCGGTTAGCTGTGGATGATGATAGCCATGCAGATGAATACGCTGTACATTCTAATGATATCGCCGCAGTGCCCACCCAACCCGACCTCACCTATCCACCTTGCCAGGTGAATGGCTTTGCAAGCAATAGAGCGCGCGCGATCCCTCGAGTTTTAATTGTGGATTTCCCAATCGGAGGCAATCGCTGGTTACCTTCTTCTCAGTGCTGTTAATTTAGCTTATAAACTGGCTTTTCCAGCATTAACTATAGTATAGATAATGTTTAAAGATTCAGCATTACAAGAAAATTGTATATTTATTAATTTTGCATTTGCTTTTTTATATTTTAGTATATCTATAAACAAATTGAAAAGCTTCAAACTATTATGACGACTGTGGGAAATCCGGTACTCAAAGCATTGTAATGAAATGAAAAGGAGCCAGGACATGTTAAGTTACATTTTCTCATTAAAAACGTATAAATTACTGAATACTTAAATTAAACAGGGCAGTAGGCAGAAGAAAATGTTGCTGGAAAATGCTGCGCAACACAGAAATATAGACAAATGTTGCTAAGAACATGGTTAGTAACATTAATGTATGCTGCCAAGGAAAACGTATATGTTGCAGAAGTCTAACATAGATAACTAATTTATTGTCTAGTATATATTTGTTATGGATTTTTAGCTAAATATTGTTGGAAACACATAAAGATTAAAAATTAAAATATATTAAATATACAATTATATATATTAATGTATAATGCCTCTGTTTTGAATATGTTTGAAACCAGAAAAATAGGTTATACAACCCATAATATCTGAATATCTCTGAACCCAAAGTAAACACTGTAACATCCTCTCTGTTGGTCTCAATTCTCTATCTTCTTCATCGCTATGTCGAGTGGCAATGATCATTATCAAAGACTTTTTGGCGTTAGTTGGGTTTTTCGAAAGTGATTGTAAAAATTACCGAAAAGGCTGACTCGGATCGGATCGGATCGGATCGGGCTTATGACAGCTGATTTGTTGCAGATGACAGGCAAGTTCGCGCCAACGGGCCACGTTCGTTCTGCCATAAAAGGGCATCCACATCCACATCCACATCTACAGCCATCCATCCATCCAAACAACCATCGAGCGATCCAATCTCAAGAGTTGTCGTGTAAATGAAACCATGTAGGAGCCCCGAATCTGGCACATCATTAAAACGAGACTTTGAGATCGTTTTGTCCGCCGCCTCGGGCGATGCGAGATCAATTCACTTGACCTTGTCAAGGGTTCCGTTTGGGCCAGAGAGTCTAATATATATCTCGACATATACATATCCATTGTTTACCTTGTCTATCAAAGTCCGCACAGCCCAATTCATATTCACAGCTAACAAACAGTCCTCCGCCAATTAGTTTTAATGGCCACAAAAATACTTTTTTAATAATCCGCAATCGCTGAGCCCATTTTTAAATTATCGCAACCGGCCGACTGACTGACAGAGAGACGGAGAGACTGACTTCCTATACAACAAACATGCTTTTTCTTATTGGCAACATTAAAACAGAACTCTACGAGTGGCCAATAATAGTAGCAATAATAAACTTTAGCTTCCTTTTAATTTGGCCACAAAATAAGCAAATAATGAGGAATTTTTCTTAGACGAATTGCAAACTCTCTTGATTTGCTCCTTAATAAAATGTAAGAACAATGTGGTTTTATAATTTATATCAGTTCAGAAAAGTATTATTAGAGCACCGATAAAATGTACACTAGTACATTATAATCGTATAAATTATGATCTATAATTAAGAAATATTAAAGTAGCTTCCGGCTAATCGTAAAATAACCAAATATCAATCACTTCGTGATGCTTAATAGACTCTCGGACTCTAAACGCTGTCATAACTTGATCAACACAGGTTTAGATAATGATTTAATATAGACAATGATTATATATAGATCATTATCATGGGCAGGAAAACATTTAAACGATTTTTCGACAGTTCTACTCTAAATTTTTACGTTTTTTTAATAACTATAACTATTAGTGTGCAATTAAAGTTAAATAAAAGGTAAGTAAAGTAAAGTAAAATAAAGTAAATAACAAATGTGATTATTAAACGCAGTTTTTAAATTGGAGTGAACATAAATTTTTGTTTAATAAACTCTGCGGTGAATAAGCCAGCAATGCCAGTCGATCATAAGCCCAGTCGGTTCATTTTGGCCAGTTTATCAATTACAGACAATCGGACGCTCGGCCGGACACGCAATTTGGTGGCGTTTTGTGCCGCCTCGTTAGCCAGCTTTTCGACTTCGTAATGCCCCAGCCCCAGCCCCAGAAGCCATAACTGACTAACTGACTGCCTGACTGACTGTCTTGGCTTTTGCCATTAATAATTGTTTCTCGCTTTATATAATACATAATTTGTGTACGCTTTTCTTGTATTTATTTTTGCAATTAACCACGGGGAAGCAGCGACCGGCGACCAACAGAGGTTTCTGCACGCGGCGGCCAGCTAATGTGATTATGATTTATGTGGGAGGCCTTGAGGAACTGCCTGCCGCCATCACCCATTGGATTGGAGCGATCTGACCGATCTGACCGATCTGAGACCGATTTGACAGACTGCTGGCAGCAGCCGCAGTTTGGATTCATCTGGACAAGGCTAATTGCGAATGCTGGTCGACATGGCACAGGCACCAAATAAATCAGAGCGTCCCCTCGCTCTCTCTCTTTAGCTCCTTCTTGGCGTCTCCATTAAATCCGTTTAAATGCAAGACCAGGCCAAAACCAGAAAGAAGACTCTTGGTGGAGCCGAAGAAGAAGCCTCGACCAAGTCACATTCTGTGACAGCTAAAGACTTCCAATGCAAGGTCAACTGCAAAACTGTCTGCATTCAAGAATGCGCTTGGCTTTTGGCACTGACAGAAATAGTTGCTCATAAATATTATTAACAATTGGTGTTTATATCTTTGTTTATTATGAAAGGTTCTTTAAAAGAAAATCGATTGTATTTTGTATATAAAAATTTAAAACATTTTATATATACAAATTTAAAAGGAGTTATTAGACAATAGATTAAGCTTTGCATGCTGAAACTTTTGCAACATCAATGTGTTGCCAATACTAGTAGGTGTTGCTGAACACATTCCTAGCAACATTTTTCTAGCAACCTTTTCTTGTGCACTTATTCTTGTTAGATATACGTTTTTATATTGAATTACCAAATAATTTAAAGCATAATTGAAAGTGTTTTAGCTATCTTTTCACTTAACGCGAAAATCTTTGTATTATATGGTGCAGTTTTATATATTGATCATTTATTTATATTTTATTATATACTGATCCATGATCATAGGTCGATGATGTACGCAAAAATCTGGTATCCCGGGAGATGATTATTTATGTATTTGAAACGTGTCTCTGGTTAAATTTTTATATAATGATCTTTGGTGATCTTGAAGTGTCCAAGTCTTCAATTGTGTATTTAAAATCCAGCCGAACTAACCTCGAGTTCAGCTAAAACCCTTGTCTATAAGAAACTCTATATATAAACTAGTATTTTAATATTTATATTTATATACAAACTGTTTGATCAAACATCAAAAGAAAAATATTAAGAATAGTAAAATATATTTTAATAACATTTCCATCATATTTTAAAAACGATATTTAAAGTTTAAAAGTTGAAAACATTTTGAATATGATATAGGAAATTATATTTTTGCAGGATATATGTAGATAGATAGCTATACCTAATTTGAGTATCGGTTATTGATTGTAGTTTTCTTATTTGTTTTCTTTTAAGTTTTTTGATTAAGCAGACAGCTTGGGAAAATTATTTTTGTTAAAACAAATTGAAAAGACTTTCCATCTAATGTTTGATTTTAATCTTAGTGAAGTTTCCACTTAAGTACCTCGCAAACAAAACAAAAACCAAGCCAACAGAAACCGCCAAAAAATGAAAGGCCTCCAAAAAAGCAACATAGTGACACTCTGTGCAGACTTTTTCAAGCTCCAAGCCAAAAACTAAGAAATATGAAATGAAAAACTTAATTACATGATTAATTAGAAGCTGCGGCGGCTTGGGCATGCGTTTTTTTCTGTTCTTTTGTGACGAGTTTTTCCAGCTGGCGGCTTTGAGATTTTCTCAAGTGGCGAAGGTTGCCCAAAATAGGGTTCGGGGAACTTTTTCGTGATTCATCGGGTAGGCAATTGGCCAATTGCGTAAGAGATCAGAGCGGAGCAGATCGAGCTAGTTAGTACAATTAAAAGTAAGCTAGCTAGCTAGCTGGCCAGCTTCGAGTGCTCTAGAGTTGAACATTTATATAGATATGTATATATTTTTTTTTTGGAGGCACGACAAACGAGTTCAGCTCCCAAGCGCCACGAGGAAACCCACTCAAATCTGAGTCGGAGAGCGGCAGATTGGAGTGAATCTTACTGCTGCCCAGATCTCGAGCCAGTGCCAGGCATATTCAACCACAACGACTGCAGTCAGTCGAGGTTGAAGCGTCTGGTTGAACGGTTGGGTTGGCACACACACCTATCTACCAATAGTAATAACTTTCAAGTGAAACAAGAAGTGTGTCTGTACTGTACGAGTTAGCTGCCACATTATCATTATTATCCCCGGCCACAGACACATTTGTGTTGTGCCATATTCATGTGGCCCATTGTCTCGGGGCACAACAGCAGCACAACCCATTGATGCAACATTGGCAACATTAGTACAACTAGAGCTCTTTTACCCGCCCGCTATTTTGGCGGTCTCTTGGGCAACCACTTCAGATATAGGCCAATGCAAATTTTCCACCTGGGGAAAATGCAATCAAATAAAAATAAATAAACAAGGAAAAACAAACGAGTGCAAAAGGCTAATAAAAACGAATTGAAAGTAATTGTTATTTTAACGAGTCGTTGAGTCGCGGTTGCCTTTGCCTTGTCGATCGTTCAATCAGTTTCAAGTGCATGAAAGTAAGTGCAAGTGACTAACAAA